ACCAGCCTTTAAAGGTCAGATTGGCCAAAACTTTGGAAAGGCACAATATATGTACAGTAGGTAGAATGGTCTGGTCCTGACTAATTATACAAAAAACAAAAATATCAAAACGAAATGTTTGATTTCAAGTAGCGTAACGTTTTGTAGCAGCCAGGCTCTTGTTCCAACGCCATGGACGACTCTGACGGCGCAACGTTCACCTCCTTCTCCACCTCTGTCTCGGGAATCTACAGCCGTAGGGCGACCATCGAAAAGCGTGGTAGGAAGCCAAGCAAATCGGCTCTGGCGGTCGCTGTGGGCAGCTATATCGCGTCTCCAAGTGCCGCCACAGCCTCAGATCTCTACAGAACAGCACAAAAACTTTCGGCACACAACGAATTCTTCGCTACAAACCACACAGCGCTGTGTTTGCAGCTGCTAGATACGTTGGCGGAGCATCTCCTCGCTGTTGCATCGGTGAATAAGGCCACAGACACGCAGGACGAGGCATCCACACAGTACTCGCAGCCGACACAGACTCAGCAGACACCTGAGGACTCGCTGCAATTGCTGGAGCTTTCCTACCTATTTGCAAGGAAAACTATAATTGGGTACCCATCACACGCGCTATGTAAGCTGCTGCAATGGCTCGTGGAGAACGTCTCGGTCTCAGCACTGCGGAATGGCTGCGAGACGGACACAGGACTGAAGCTGCAACTTCTCGTGCTGGCTGAGATGATCAAAATCAGTGCTGGCGTACGAATTTACGCCAAGGAGATGAAGAAAATCAAGGACTATTATCGTTCGTTGACGATCTTACTCAACAGCACGGAAGACGCGGAGCTGTTGGTGTTCAGTATGGCGATCCTTGCACGTCTTGTGCTTTCGGAGTCGATGGGAAGCAAGCTTTTCAGTGAGAAGAACGTTGACCAGGCGTTTGTATTGATATTTTCTGTGTTGGACGGATCCTGGCACGACAACACGGACGAGAGCATGTCGGATACGACTACGATTCTGGATCGACGGTCATTGTTGCAGATGGTGAGTGCAGACTTACTCTGTGATCTTGCTGACAGCCAAGAAATTTTGGAGCTGCTAGAAAAGTACCCAAAGATTTTACCCACAATCGACAACTGCTTCATGGTGATTAATCTAAACGGCGAAGCTGAGCAGATTCTCGTTGCTGCCCACTTCCTCGCCTCCATCGTCCAACTCAGCCACGTATTCAGGAAGATGTTAATCAAAAGCTTGTCTGATCAAGATGTACTGTACCGCGTTCTGCAAACCACAGTGCATCCATCCAAGTTAGCGGCAACAACGACTGCCCAATTAATTCTGAAAGTGATAGGCGACGACATTCGATCTATTCGAAGTCTATTTGAGCCGTCGGAAAATGCAGAGCGTTTGAACCCTGTTGTCACTGGGATGATACGATGCATCACTGATGCCACTGCAGTTGTGCAGCGTGCTGAAGACAACGAGGTGCTAAGCAACTCCGACGAATATCTTCATACCGTGGAAGTGTGCCATCTTTTGACCAAACTGAACGAATTGCCAGCAATTCGCTCGCTGTGCGTTGAAACCATCAGCCTGAACCAGGTACGCTAGAAAGCTTTATCGCGATATCATGCGTACTCAACAATCCTTATTTATGATTAATGACAGAGCGCAACACTGATTCAAGTAGAGTCTGCACTTATCGGCTCCGTCGAACCGCAAGATTTGACACGCTTCCACCCTCAACTGTCGATACACCTGGTGGTAAGGATACTACGCCTTGATATCGTGCCCGTGTCTTGCCATGCAGTAACTTTAACTCCACTGTTTTGGCTTCACTAGAGTCTTCTCTCGAGTCTTCTATCCGACGAAAACATGTCCGATAAAAACAAGCGCACGTTAGTCCAATTCCTCCAGACATCCGAAGTATCGACAGTGCTCGGTGCTGCATTGTTCAATCGCAGCGACAAAGATATTGTGGTGGAGTCTCTGCTGCTGCTGACTCAGTCACTCACGGGATCGGGAAACAAGCGATTCCATGCTCTTGGTCTAGCCGAAGGGATCGTTGGTTTCAGTCAGCGTATTGGAGATGCAAGTGACAACTTACAGTCGACTATTGCTTCGCTCCAAGCGAATGCTGAGGTCAGTGCAAAGACAGTTGAAAAGCTTCAGTCTGAGATGCAGCAGATGCTGCATCTTCAAGATGAGGTAAAGGCACAGCAAGACCAAGCCCTGAAAGATATTGGAGTCAAGTTTACAGAACAGATACGTCAAAAAGATGATGCGATACAGAAAATGCGTGACGTGTATGAAATTAAGCTGCGCGAGGTCACGATGCAATGCGAAAGTATGGGGCAGCACATGAACAAGCAGATTAGTTCTCTTCAGCAACGGGAATCACTTCTCCAAGAAAGTCGGGCAAAGCGTGGGATTTTGGAAGATGAAAACAGTGAACTCAAACGGAAGGTGCAAGTGTTGGAGATCCGAATTGAGGAAATTGCTCAGACTCATTCGGTTGCAATGGAAGAGATGAAGCTTCGCGAAAAGGAATTAGAGGAGCTTCGTGAGGAGATCGCTACCATTTCAGGAGACTACACAGCCCAGCGAGAACAACTGGAAGCTGCTCAAGACGAAACAAGGGTGCGTTATTTGTGACGAATCGGCTGTTATTACAATAATTAACTAAACTACACGTTGATTTTATTGTGCAGCGACTGGAAGACGAACTAAACGAACAGAAGTTAACGAACGAAAACACGTATAAGGAGCTGGTATTGTTATCAAAGGCTCATAAAGTCCTTGCTGACGAGAAGAAGACGATCGAAAGCGAAGTGGACACGATACGAGATGAGATGGCCAACCTGGAGTCAATGAATATCTCAATCCAGTCCCGGTTGCAGGAGAAGAAAGAGCTAGCTGAACAGCTAGAGCGAAAGGTACGTGGAAATTCTCGTTTATTGCGAATGCTTAGAGCTCACAAACGTATCAATTTCAGATGGCGCGCCTCGATGACGCTGCTACCGTTAGCAAGAATGCGCTAGAAGATGAGCGGGAGAAGCGCCGAGCTGTTAGCCGTGACCTCGATGATCTTAGGAAAGCCCACCGTAAACTTGAAAGCGATATGGCCATGCTTGAAATTCAAGCTGCTGAGCAACGACTTGAGGTCGAGTCGAAGGACGAGGACTTGCGCAAATGTGAAGAAGAGATCCGTCATTTGGTAAGCATATATTTGACATTTATTGCACGTTCGATACTGATGTAACCTTTGTCGACGTGTGTTCAACTGAGCAGACAAACGAGGTCGGAAAACAAGCGAAACTTCAGGCTTTGATTCACCAGTTGAGCTCTGGAGTTGACAACAATGTCAAGATCAACGATGGATCGTTTCTTGGACGTGACAAGTGAGCTAGCTAACACGCAAATACTAGAGCTTTTTTGAAGATGATGGAAGCAGGTTCCACAATATATTTATTTTTTTTGTCTCTAGGAGTCATTTCCTCCTGAGTTCGTCACTCAAAACCATGCTCAAGGCATGCAAAAGTGAACACGAGGGCTGCACGCGCTCAATTCATTACCTACATCTAGTGGCGACGACCACGGCCACCACGACCGCCACGGCCACCGCGTCCTCCACGCTGCTGGTTACGGTTCGACCGGGACTGCTTGAAGCGCTTGTAGCGAGCCGCACGAGCATCCTCCCAGAACTTTTTCTCCTCTTCACCTTCAATGATGGCAGCCTTGGGGATTTTCACGCCATTCACCTCAAGTCCGCCGTTTGCAAACATACTTACAACCTCCTTGGCAAGCTCAGCGCTGGTGACGCGAAGGTAGCCATCCTTGTCGTTAATCTGGTACTGGATGAATGCAACACCGGCGCCGTCCGTAACCTTGTCGCCAAGCTTCTCGTTGATGGTGTTCTTAATGTCATCACGCGAAACCTCGCCGTCAACCCCGTCGAAACGCACAATCAGACCTTCGTCGTACTGAACGTCGACCTTCAGCTCCTCATCCACATCCAGCAGGTGGAACGACACCTTCTTGCCGCCAAGCTCGGGGCCCGAGAGCGCCGACAGCTTCTCAAACAGTGGCGTAGCCTCAGCAACGCTAACCTTGAACGAAGCTGTGTCCAGGCCATCGTACTCAACGTACGGCGACTGCATCGTCGGTTCAATGACAGTAGCAAGAAGCTGCTTAATGTCGTCCATACGTGTGCGAGGACCAATGTTAGAGATGTGGATTGCCTTCTCGTCGTCGCGCTTACGCTTCTTGTTGGCGTTCTTGTCGTCCTTGTCACTGTTGGGACGACGAGGGCGAGCCTTGATGGCCTCCTTGTCAGTGACCAGCTCGAACGTGAGCTTCTTGTCATCCACAACAACAGGCAGGTCTTCCGAGAGAGCCTTCAGCACCTTCTCAGCGAAAGACACCTGCGAGAACAGCAGGTAGAGTTCCTTGGAGTCCTCGAAGTAACGCACGCGAGCACGCAGCTTGGCATCGTCCTTCCAGACAGGCAGCAGCTCGTCCAGGAAGAAAGTTACGGGCTTGTTAGGAACGTCCTTGGCCACAAGCATAGCATTCGTAGCCTTGTCGAATTCGACCTTGTCATCGTTGGACAGCTTCTGGTATTCCACCTTCGAAATGATGTTGGGCACGTAGCCGTTGATGCTCAGCGAGGCCGCAGAGTCCACAGCGCGCTGCACAGCGTCCTTGTCCTTAAGTTCCACGTGAACCACACCAGAGAAGTTGCGGCGGTAGCTCTTGCGGTCAATAAAGAGCAGCTCAACGTTCAGTGGCTTCAGGCCTTCTTTGATCTCGTCAATGGTGGGCAGAGCCTTGCCCAGGCCAGCCAGCACGATGGTGCGCTCAGGAGCGTCATCCGTCTCGGGCAGCGGGTTCTTACGGCGCAGAGCGTTCTTGGCCTCGCTGAGCTCCACAACGTCCGAATCGGCGATCGCAGCCTGCAGCACAGCGCCGTCCACAGTGAGTGCCGCCAGCTTCTTGAAGGTGAAGAGCACGCTGAAGGGTACAAATCCACCCTCGTGCTTCTTGGTCTCCTCACGCAAGAAGCGGTCGCGACGGAAGTTGCTGTCGGAGAAGTAGAACTCCACTTGCTTCTTGATCTGGGCCTCCAGCGACGCCATAGCTGTCTAATGCACTTGTTGACTCGGACGGGAAGTGCAGGAATGAAGAGCTACAGTCTTTGACCGGTGCCTACGGACCAGTGGAATCACTTGATGGTCGCTGATTGGATGAAATTCTGCATTTCAAAGCAAATGTTGAAGTTGCCTTTTTGGTTATGTAAATTTATGTTACTGTTACTGAGAGTCTTGTGACTATGAAGTTAACGTGATGCATGCACGGCACGCGAATGGATTCTAGCTACAATGCCCCGCCGCTTCGTCTTCTATCCGCTACAATACGCGACATCGAGAAGGGCAAGGCGGAATCTAAAGCTGGAGGTGGTGACTTACTCCTTGTTGGCGACCACTTCAACCACCATGAACAAAATCGCAGCGTTCGGCACCACACGCATTAAATGCGCAGGCATGCCCGAGTACAGTCCGCGTCGTCCCTCCTCCTTGTATATCTTGATGATCGATTGGATCATTGATTTATACCTGCAATACAATCAATACACGCGTTAAAACAGGCTGACAGCTTGCAAATCTGACCAGTCTTATAAACGTACTTGAGGTCCTTCGAATCCAACGGTGCGCGCTGATCTCGCATTCGTGTCCGCACAACCTAGAGCGAGCGTTACAATGAGTAAACACACGCAGCGTAAAGATATTCGACAAGATACGCACCTCGTGGGGGTAAGTGCACATTGATGCAAGCAGCTTGCAAGCGCCAGCCGCCAGGAAATACTTGAGATTCGTGGGTTCTTCAATATGATCCTTGCACTCCTCGTACAAGGCGAACTGAATCGCACTTTCTGAGATGCCCCAGTACGAGGCCGACAAGCCACGGAAGAATGCTCGTGGGCCTTCTTTCCGGTACATATCCAAGGCCACCTGACGGACACTTGAGAACTGCGGCCTCGCCTTCGCTGCAACCGATGTCTCGACTTCTGCAAATCCCACAGAAAAAACGTTTCGCCGGGACGTCGCCGCAGTCAACGCATGCGCTGGCATGAGCTGCAGGCGCGTCTTAACGACCCAAATGGGCAGCATAAGGTCGCCGAGAGAGATCCAGCCCCAGCAGCAGACAGGAAGTTATACGCACGTCCATTCAGGCCGTAACTAGTGAACTTCTCCTTAAATGTCGAGTACGATCCGAAGTAGATAGCACGCGCCGGGATGACACCGACGAGCGTGGGGGTGATGCCTCTCCACAGACCATATACCGACTCTGCAACAGCACAACATCAATAAGTAAGCGCGCTACTGTTGTCTCAGCTCAGCTACCCACTCACCAGTTCTTCCGATGGAGCGCATGACGCCGAACGTTGTCTGGGTTCCGAAGGATCCGCTGCACAGAATCAAATACAGCCCGCTTAGTTCAACCATTCTTCTCGCCAATCAATTGCACAGGACGCACCTTCCACCGCGAATCTGTAGACGCGTTTTAACGACCTCCAATGGCGACGTAATGAGTGCTGCCGTCATGCCTCCGACAGCACCGCCCATGAAGTGTCTATAGGTGAAGGTGCTGCTGGGCACGCGCATGCTAGTAGCCGCAGCCGGCGGTTGCGTCACTATAGCTGCAGCAACAGACTCCGGCGTCTTAACATTCATTGGCGCTGGCATCGCCTTGGCCGGCGCAGCAGACACCGATTCAGCCGCCATCAACCTCGACTCTTCCTGATCGCTTGTTCACTTGTGGCCGCCCGCTGCCATCCACCACAGGAATCTGTGACTTGTGACGTCACATTTCAAACTTGGATTTTGTATGATACCAAATGCAAGTTGAAAAAACACGCGACAGGGCGAGACATTCACATCGTCAACGCGGACGTTCTATTCAAAAACTCAAACTCCACTCCGCGCGAAAGGCAGCAGACGTCGAAGGCGGCGATGGAGACGCGGCCGCGCTCGCAGATGGCGTCGTATCTAGAGCGTTGGGAGGACCAGAAGACACAGAGTCGTCTTCGGCGCCTGAAGGAGCAGCGACGCCGCAGCAGCGACGTGGGCGACGAGCTCAGCTTCATCTCGGCCATCGAGCGCGAGAACGCGCAGCAGGAACGCTATGACGCCCAGTCGGGCGATCAGAACCAACAGTATGAGCACCATGCCGACGACAGCTTTGGTCTTCCAGTCATGGACGCGTTTCCACCTTCAGAGTTCGCGCAACAGACACAAGAGCAGCAGAAAATACCCACGGACGATGAGTTCATGGACGCTGGTGGGTTGATGACTCTCTTAGGTGGTTTATTTGTAAAACTACAGTCTGACGTTATTTCTGCGTGTCTGATTGCTGATTTAAACGGCTGGAGTAGCCACGTTTCTAAAGAAAAACGAGTTGGGTGGGGATGACAGTTTTTCTGAAGATGTTGGGGCTCTGGCAGAGTCCCATTACTCCAGCGGCAGGCCCAGTGACTTCTTCGAGAGTAAGTCGCGCAATCTCGACCATGTGGAGCTTTCGTCGCCCAGGAACGTCGACGATCCTTTGGTATGACGATGTAGGGTGAACACAACAACGTGGTTCGCATTCTGACTATGTTGCTTTTTATTTGCAGTTTGAAGCTGATGACGCAGAAGCTGAAGAGTCTGGAATGCGCACTACGAAGCAGCAGCTATCGCCGACCGATCCGACACAGGGCGCAGCGCTTCACGATCGCTTTGGTCGCAACTCTGGTCTCTCAGGATCAGGCTCAGCTTTTTCGTCAGGTTATGACGTCCACTTTGACAGTGCGAAACTCATGTACACGCCCAACTCGTTAAAGTACCTACAGGTTGGTTAACGTTTTTCGTGTGACATCAACTTAATCACGCTGACTTATGGTACGTGCTTGTAGGAGAAAGATCGTTTAAGGAACACTGGAGAATGTCGCATCAACAATGAGTCCAACCATAGCTTCGCAGATTATGCTGGTGAGGCTGAAACACTGACGAGAAGGCTTCCATCGCTTCCCGATCAGGAAATTTCAGAGGATCCATCACCTGAGTATGTGGCAGCATTGCGAGCAGGGCCTAGCGTTATCAAAGAGTCGCTGCGTGAGATTGATGCGCTCATTGATAACTCGATCCGACTAGCGTCAGCACCTCCCATAAAGGACCCACTAGGCGTCGAGCTGCCCGATGATGTACGTGAGTTTGTTCGTGACTACGAGCGCCCGCTGGAATCGATGCTGCCACTTTCAAGAACTACGGATAGTTGGGGAGAAGATATCTCCGTTACGCAGCTTGACGATGATGCCAGTCGCCAAAGTCGAGATCCGGAACGGCTTTCAGGTGGTACCGAGCCCAGGACCAGTGTGAGAAGAAGTAGATCACAAGAGACGCCGGAATTGGACACTATTCGTGAAGTTCCATTGCCGTCCAATACTGATTCTGTGTCTCGAAGCCAGCAATCAGTCGACTCTCGCAAGCGATCTCCAACCCGGCCCAGCACGCAAACGCAACATCATCTCGAGTCTAAAAGTGATACTGTTCAAGAACGACGCGGGGACAATGCGCCAAATTTCTTTTCTGGGGCAAACCATTTGCCAAGTAAGCGGTTCAGCGGTGTGGATTCCAAAAGATCAGAAGGTTTAAAATCCAGGTCTACGTCCGCTACTCTTGATCAATCGCTGGCTAAGGTGGCTGCTACCCAGAACCCATTTCGCGATGAAATGTGCCGCTCGAAGGCCAGTAGTCTTGGAAGTGACGAAGAGCTAGAAGATGGCATCAATAACTCTTCTGTGGAAAACGATGACTACGAAAGACATCACTACAGCAGAATACCAGAAAGCGGTGCCACAGCACGAAACGAATTAGATTCGGAATCCGATATTGATCCGAATAGCGTACGCTTTCGTTACGGAGAAAGCCTCCAGTGTTCGCGAAATTTGTTACGGCAAAAACCTGTCCGTGGTCAGCGTCGTGCTATAACTGATTTCGAGTCGAGAACACCAGCCCTGCCGAAATATCCAGAAGCATCTGAGAGACCTATTGCTATGGTACGCCGTGCGATCTTCTCTTGTGCACTCACATCTTCTAACGTTTACGAATTGTGTTGTCTAGCTCGATCGAAACAAGCTTTATGTGACAATGGAGACAACTATGGTACGACTTTTCGACCACTCTAGCTATTTCGTATTGCACGGTAAAATGACTTTGGTGTAATGATCATGCTTATAGACTCCACGCCGGTGTCGAAGGTTTCTTTGCTCCGTTGGCGACATTATGACGGAGCAAATCGTTTTCACGAATGGAACCAACGCGGTTGGAAGGATTTGTGTCTCCCTTCTTCCACTTAGCACTGGGTGCCACCAGTTTAGCGTGTCTCCAGCGGTGCTGGAGATTGGGCCCAAGGCTTCGAGTGCGTTCCATGTAACCTTCAACGCACGCTACGCTGGAGCAGTAGCCGGGATCTTCCAGTTTAGAGGAGTCGGTATTGATTCATTGTTCCACCCATTCGAAGTTGTCATTGAAGCAAGCGTGAAGCGGCATTTGGAGTTGAAGGTTCATGGAAATACACAGCAGCGCGACGGATTTGATACTCCTATCAAACGTGTCGACGAGCTTCAAGCTAGCAGATCTGTTGACCAAGTGGAAGTTAGCCCCACGTTTATCCATTTCGACCGTGTCCGCAGTAAAAGTGCTGAAAAGATGGTCACGAAGGCCAAGGTGCGTTTGTCAAACAACACAGTTCAGTCATTGCCATTCAAAGTTCGTGCCCCTGAGAATCTACGGGTGCGCCCAGCTACAGGGATGATTCAGCCAGCATCTGAAGTCGTTGTATCAGTGGTACCGATATCTCAACCCTTTGTTCAGGCTGAAGATCTTCAGCAACGTGGGGGTCGTACAAGCAGCTTGAATCCGTCTCCTAGAGCTGAAAACTGGTTCGGGTCGCTGGCAATTCGAGTCGGCAAGTCTTATTTGCGAGAAGTGAGTATTGTGGTGGATCGAAGAGTGATCCAGATATTGCCACCGTTTGATGAAATCGCACGATCTCGGCATCAACTTTCTTCACAGACAGATTCATTTTACTACACCAAGCGCGGGAAGCGGAGAGGGCTGTACTTCCACGCCAGGGCTGTTGAATTTGGAAGCTGCCGTGTCGGCAAGTCGCACGAAGCACCTGTGTATGTATGCAATGGCTCGAACGAACCAATGACAGTCTTCTTGCAAGATCTGCAGGAACCCTACTCGTGTGCCTACTCCACGACTACCATAGAGCCTCGGAAGTTTATTCCTGTAACAGTGACGTTCACCCCTAAGGTGGTAGGCAAAGTTGCTACGTCGCTCTTCGCCTACTCCGTTACGGACAAGGCAGTTGTTACGCTCGTCGCTCGAGGAACTCAATGAACAGCAATTTTCAGCGTCTCCTTCAGTCTATTGTATTCAATTGGCTTCATGCATGAGAGCGGCTTTGATTAGCCCCTACGGACGTGTCATCGTCGTCTTACATTTTTCCGTGCTCAGCCAGGAATCCCTCAACATCGGTGAGTACTTCATCGTATACCGCAACATCTGCAGGGTACACGCGAATCCAACCAGCTCCAGAGTCCTGGGACATTTTCTCGACACGATTCCAATGGAGATGGTGCTGTAGGTTGATCGAGAGCTCTTGAGCTCCTGCAGCTACCTGCCACGACGAGAAGCCCGCACGCTGAATGCACGATGCAAAGTGCTGTGTCAGCACCCCCTCCGTGTCTCGACTTGAAGGCACTTCAACCACCAAATGCATGAAGAAATACCAGCTGCCTCGAATTGCATGTCGGATGTCCAGCTTAATGCACTCCATTTGGAGCATTAGAATGAGTCTTTCGTAGCGTGGGTCTTCTTGGTCTCGCTCTTGAACAGGCCAACGAACTTGCACTTCTAACGTCGCACCCTTCCCCATTCGTGATGCCAGTACTTTCGTTCGCTGGTGTGATGATGGGTAAAAGGCTTCGGTTCCAACCTCCATCGCCGCGGCAGCTTTCAATGACACGGGGAAGAATGCATCACTCCGCTTTGTACCTAGCGAGATAAGTTGTTCAAGGGAAGCCACGGTGGGGTTTAAGACTGGCGGGGCTGACAATAAATCATCCTCATTCTTAGCCAAAGTTGGTGTAATTCCAATCTCAAACGGGTCAATCCTCGAGAGAACCAAGCGACGAAGGTTTGACGTGATGATTTCGAGTACAGCAACGCATAGTCCATCTGGTGAAAACTTCGAGTGATCCAAGTGTCCCCCGTTCGCTAGTTCCAGCGATGAATTAACACTGCAGTGGCCCTTTTGCAGTTCAGCATCGGCACGAAAATGCACAAATGACGAAGCTAAGGCATCGTACACGTCATGATTACCGTGTTTCCCGTTCAATGCAGCATCGCTGCCTTTTCCTTCGCTCTTAACCTGCTCCTGGACACCAGGCAGCCATCGCGACAGTATGCTAACAAGCAGTCGGTGCGAAATAGAAAAAAAATCGGGACAGATCTCCATCGAGAAAGGTTCTTCCAACTGCATGAGCTCGAGCTCCTTTTTACCGGTCAATTCTTCAGCTTTCTGCATTCGTTTCATTTGCCACGCCGACAACTCGCTTAACATGTGCAATATAACCAGCCCCAACTACAGATACCGAGATATTATTCGTTAGGACGTGCTGCTACTAACAAGTTGCTGTTTGGATACACCACGCACCTGTGATCTGCGCTTCACAGAGCTCAAAAAATTTTGTCGACCGACGAGAAGCGTCACCAGAGAAGCTGATGAGCTACCACTGATAGTGTCCTGTATAACAAAGTATCTTAGCATGTTGGTATCTGGACAGTCTCGAAAGTTATACTTCCCCCACCTTTTCTGACGTCACATCCTCTTCTTCTTGCATCACAAACACTTGCTCTATAATACGCTGATCTAGAACACGACCATATGCGCGGTCTCCAATCATAACACGCTGAATCGCCGTTGCCAATTCTTTCATAAATACTTGCGCGGATTGTTTCTCGCCTTCGGAAAGCAGATCCAAGCGATCCCAATCCTGCTTATCGAAGTCAGCAGTAGTAGGTGCAGCTGTAACGTGTGTATTGAGTACGAGGCAAGTTGCCAGCTGCAAAAACCCACAAAGAGAGCCTGATGCAAGCAGCAACTTCTGCAGAGCTTGAAACGCGAGATCTCGGACTTCAGGCAACGAAGATACAGCAGCATCAAAGAGCCATTGCTGAATTTTTCGTAGTATCACGTCAGTTGAGGTGTGCACAGAGCTAAAGGCCGCTTCTTTGCATATAAGTGACTCGAGGCCAAATGTTTCACCTACACCACGACCTGTACGTCATAAAACTACACCATTTAAACAAGAATGGCAAGAGCTCGAAACTTACCAACCCGGCCGGAAGAAAATATCGTAATTCTAATGGAGGTCACTTGGGTTCCCTGTCGAGTTCACAATGAGTAACATACAATAAATGAGAATCGCACCATCAAGCAACAATGATATTTCCTCCAACAAACCTTCGGTATAAGTATCCGGCTGTCAGTGATACGCTTCGTCACAATTGCCACAGTTTCGTACGACATGCCGTCTCTCGAAATACATAGCGAAAAGCTTTCCGGGACAAAGCCAGTTTTCCACTTTAGCTCAATGGACGAAAGCGTGACCGCAGAGCTGAATTGACACACAATCCATTCGTTTGACAGTGGAGACTGTTGATCCGTCTTGCTGGCTGATCTCCAAAAGCTTGAATCACTCTCGAAAATTCTGTGAACATTACCACAAACATTGAACTTGTCAGTCTAGCTAACTCCATAATATTTAGCAGGGGTCATACTTTGAGGCGGAATGCTGCTCGTCAAAAACTGAGCTTGCAGTCACTTCCTTTGGGAGCATCTTCTCCTGCGAAAGTTGACGAGGCGGCGACCACTCAGAAAATAAAGCGAGTGGCTCCATCCTCCCAAGCACAGCCACAATCTAGCGACAATAATTTACCCGTCAAACAACCATTCTCAAGTGCTGTCATCTCTCCAACAAACCTGTCGAAGTGGTTGAGCGGAAGCAGGTGAATCCGCAACAAAAGCTCCAATTACAGATGACAGGAGTCGAATTGCAACCTACAGCAACAACAACAACGGCTTTTCTCAGCCTAATCTAATCTATTCTTTTAATCCAATTCACTGTCCTCACCTGATGCAAATGATTCTGCTGCGTGACCACCTCCACCTTTCTGGGTCGATACTGTGGCCTGCCTGTCAACATCGGCGCCAATGGACACCTGGGGATCCTCTCCACCACAAACTTCAGCTCGCTCTTTGGCAATTGCACAGCAACTGCCTGTAGCGGCATTCCTTTTCTCAGACAACCGTCCACATGTGGCATGCTAAGCTGAAAATTAGCCACTTTCAGCGGCTTGCCGCTAGCCGCTGCCAACGGCTCCAGTATTGAGCGTGTAGTCAACACCTCTCTAGCCCTTGGGAAAATGGCACTGAGGCAGCGCTCGCAGTTAATCACCGTGTGCTCGATCTCCTCCGTCGCAATGGGGAAGGCCTCGATGGCTTGCTGGATCTCCTGCAATGAACAGGCCCACATGGATACGGTAGTAGACGCCTTGCAACGACGGCAGCCGTCGCGGAACGGTCGTGCGTTGTTGGTGGCTGCAGTGCAGCTTGGACACTTGGCGTGTAACTTTCCGTCCGCGTCCGTCAACCGCTCCGTGTATAGAGCACCATGAACGTCGCATCCCGGGAATTCTAGGTACTGACATTCGCTACACAAGATCACGGCAAATGTTCGCAGCATGGACGCGTCCAAACTCGCGTCTGCGGGCGCTGTGGCCGTCGGCACGGTGCTGTTCGTCGCCTCGCTGCTGGTGGAAACCGTCATCTTCGACTGAAGAAAAGATTCTAATAGAATCAGATGAACTGTGATAAAGTATAATCCGGTATAATGGGATATGAAAGCAAAATATGTCCTTACATAGGTGGTCGGGGTTGGCTGCCCGCATTTCTAAAGCTTTCGCGCTCATCAGACGATGGTGGACGCAGGGAGCAGCAAGCGCAAACGCGATGAGAGCCACGAGCGCAAGCTGCCGCTCAATAAGGAGCGTCGCACCAAAGTGCGACAGGAGCACATGGAGGAGGAGTTTGCTGAGACGTACCACGGACTTACCGCTCTGTATAAGGTGCTTGAGGTCAAGCACCTGCAAAGCCCGTTGTTCTTGCCACGGACGCTAAGCTACCGCTTGGACCCGGCCTGGCAGCAAAAGGAGGTCAAAGAAAAGAAGGGCCAGAAGCAGGTCAAGAACGCGAAGGCTGGTGCCACCATGAAGGATTTCAAGATCGGGATGACATCCGACACCATGGAGGCCTTTAAGAGCCAAAAACAGCGCCCAGGAGTGCTGATCTCGCTCTACAGGGCCAACGGCAAGAAGTTCAATGACAACCAGTTTACGCTGCTTGCCACGTGCTTGATCCCCGTGCCGTGTTCCAAAGATCTAACGCTTCCGAAGGAGTTTGTGGATCTTAACGCCGATATCTGCGTCGGAGTCTTCCAGGTGGTGGAGATTAGTGACGTCGGTGAGACGATTGCTGCTCAGTCAGCATTTAAGTTTGCAGCGCCGTCGGTGGCGTCTATTGTAAGCGGTAAGGACTTATTGTCGACGTGTGCCAACGGCCGCAAGCCTCTGTTTGGCAACCTTTTGCGTCTCAACGTGTCGCGTCGTCGTGTGGGATATGTTACTGTTGAACTGCCGGCAATTGCGTCGTCGGTGAGCGGAGGTGAGTACATAACCAAACTTTTGCTGATAACTTTAAGTTTTTACTGATAGAATGTATCCATGTAGGTGTCAAGTGTGAGTTCCGTATCTCGTGGGATCCGCTGCCCAAGACGAAAAAGATGCAGCGCCTTGCGAGCATCTGCGATACGAAGTTGAAATCTGAAGACGAGAGCAAGCAAAGTGACGAGAACTTCGCGTTAGCAGTCCCGAAGCGGGATGTCACCTCGGCCGAACGCAAACCGTGTTCAGGGGTAATCTGTGCTTTTCTACGAAAGCCAAGGAGCTTAGGATACTAACTTTCTCCGTGTATTTGATTTTTTTTTTGCAGGTGTGGTTCCATTTCCTGTATCATTCGATGCTGCGCAGGATGAGCGAGAAGCGCATGGAGTACTCGTGCGCGTGGTGCAATATGTTTGCTGGCTCATTACGTGGCCTCGTGGCCCACTTGGTTTCTTCCCACGATCGCTTCCGCTTCCAAGCTACGGTGAGTTCGCGAATTACATTCTATTGGATTCTCGATGATACAAATGCTCAATTTTGCTGCTATGTGCAGGTTGGGCACGATAATATCCCACACATTTATGTGATGGTAATGCAAGAGCCACAGAAAGGCAACAACGGGCGCCGCTCAGTGTTGTCTGAGCTTGAGATGTTCCCGAATGAGGAGCCAAGTCGCTTCGAACACCACTTCACTCACATGTCCGGGAAGAAATACGGCCCGCATGGTTCTCAAGCAGTGGAGGCAGTTGAAGGCTTGATGCAGGAGTTTGATGAGATGGATGAGCTTTCACAAGAACAGCCCCAAGAGTTTTATGCGCCCCTCCTCCAGCGCCAATACTTCCACTCGCGAACTGGTGCTGTGGTATTGGACCACGAAAAGAACTATGACAGCGATGACGATGTTGATGAGACCTGGATCACGAAGCAGAGCGAGCGGGTACGTGTCCAGATTGGATGATTGATTGACCGTTGTGTCTTCGACAAGGCTTTGACCTGACATTTGTTGTGCTCCATTTTTGAATGATGCAGTTATTGGACGAATTTGAGGATGTTTCGCTGGAAGAGAAGGAATTTATGAAGAAGTGGAACCGCCACGTGAAGGAGTTCAAGTACGTGCAGTTTGTGACCGTGTTGATCAAGTTTGGTCTCTGACTACTGATGGTGTGGAAACAGGATCCTGGCTGATTTCATGGTAGCGTCTTCGTGCCGCATGTTCGCCCGGAACCACGGAAAATGGTGCGTTAGCGCTGTATATTTCACACGGTAGCAACTTATGAACACTGCTTTTTTTTACAGGCTCTTGGATCACGGATTGCGCCACAACTTCTTGCTCCATTTGCTTAATTTATGGGACAACTCGTTGTTGAACTCACGTGCAATCATCGACTGCATGCTGATTGTCGACCAAAACAAGGTAAGGATTGGCTCTATGTTAGCAGCTAACTAGTGCTAAGAGAACTAATTGGGTTTGACGCAGAATCCTGAGGCGACATCTGAAAACGGAGTGAAAGCAGACACGCAAGCGAAAGGGGAGTCGCTGCAGGCGAAAGTGGAGGAAACACCAGCGACTGCCGCCCAGTAATTCAATACTGTGCAGTAGCAGAAGTAGTACTAGAGTCGTACAAACGGCCCTTATTATTAATACTTCTAACTCTCCGGATAGCGTGGAGGTGCTTCCCGACGGTAATGCGGTTGGCAAGTTAACTACATGTATCGCCCACGCTCGAATACAAAAGTGCCTTTATCGTCTTAATTGTATAACTAACTTCCTGCTCTTTTCTACTGAAGCGGCGCAGGCATCTTCTCCTCATCAGAAGAAGATGGCGATGGCACTCGCTTCTTCGGCCTCGTCCGACGGCGACGCGCTTTATACTTGCAATCATGTGAACGGTTGTGGTGGTGGTGCTCGTCACTGCTATCCGAATCGTCAGAGTCCTCGCCACTCTCACTGGAGCTCTCTCCAAAGTCCCTCTTCTTGTGGAAAATGCAGCACTCTGCAGCACAGTCAAGTCTGGTCAGTCAAGGAAAGCTTTTTTATATTCCAGGATCCACGTACTGTTGGAACGTTTGCGTCCAAGGTGCTCGTTGTCCACGACGCTCTCATCGAAGGTCACGTGTGGACGCGGTTGCAGTTCCATACGATAGACTGGGGCTGTGCCAGCGGACGGAGGTGTCGTCACCACCTCCGTCGTCACTTCCTCGCGGGCTGCGCTGCTCATTCTTCTTGATTAAGTTGCGTTTTGGCTGGCTGACTCAACGAGTGTCACATTGCTCTTAAACGCGACATTCGATTTAAGAGCGCTTACAAAGCAATATTATTTAGAACGTTTTTGCAATAATTACAAAAAGCTAGTGTATTTATTGACAGTGTAGCCATCTTTCAAGTTGAAGTGGTTGAAGTGGAAGCAGATCGGAGATCCACTTCAGTTGCTGTGGAAGTACTCTTGGCACTGCGCCGCCTTTGACCAGTCGCGCTTGCGTTTATCACCGCACGCAGCATAGAGTTCGCACATGTGCGTCACGGTACTGTGACAGGCGAGCGGGTTGTCGCGCCTACACTCGATCTCCTGGACCATGCCACCCAGCTCGTCCACTTGCGGAACGATATCGCGTCGAGGCTTTACAGTCATCACGTAGTCACGAATGGACTCATCGTCCACATCGAAGCGTCCACGAGAATAAAGCAGTCCAGGTCCTGAGAACGATACGGCGGGGGTGTGCGTCCTGGCACCAACCATGGCTGCCATTGCACCTCCCAGACTGTGGCCAGTTAGCACAAGACGATCCCCACCAACACGTTTGCGAACTGCAATCACGTGGTCTAGCAGCTCTGAGTACACTGGAGGTGGCATGATAGCTCGGAGGAAGTTCATAGAAAGCATCTCCACGACGAATTCACTGGGAAGCTGCTTCAAGAAAGGGATGAAGGTATTCGCAGCCTGCATGACGCTCACCCCGAACCAATAGTGGAGATCTTCGAGTGCGTCTGTGGCTGTAGCGGTTCCTCTTACCGCAATAACAGTCATGTTGATGGACGGGAAGTAGAGCTCAGTCCACACTTGATGGCCCGCATCTTCATTGTTACGCGATACGAACTCCCAGTCACCGAGCTCCGTGCCGTTGAAACGTTGAGTAAATGACTTGACTTGAACAGCGGTGTTCCAACCGTAGACAGCATCAGCGATGAGTGCAAAATCCACGATATCGAGAGAATTTAAGTCTAGAGCACACACTGGATATTCGGCCACCTTTGTCCACTGCACGGGCGACTTTGTTGTCTTCGACGCGAATGGAGTAGCTGGAGCTGCGAGAGACTCCGCCGTTGGTGGATACACAAAGAAATCATCACCTTGAACAAAAGTTCCAATTGCCCATGTAGACGAGAAGAAAACGAATGATAAAATGACAAAGAAGGTGATAAAGGACTTGAATGTCAGGCCGAAAATCTGCGCACAAGGCCAGGAACACGTATTAGCAATTGACAAAAGCCAAGGATGTAAGCAATAGTACCTGAGGGTATTTGGCCTGGATCGTATCGCCAAGTAGAATGAGGCAAATGCCCATGATGCCCCATCCGGCGTAAAATGCGTAGAACGAGATAATTGCACTCAGAATGACGATCGGCCACAAAATCCGAAGCCGACGGTCGTATGAAAACTTTGACCACAGGTTCAATTCGCGAATATGCTCGCCAATCCTGTGCATACGCTGCTTCCCTTCCAACGCCTCCTGAGTCTCATTGGCGTCCGTGACAGGATCGCATGTTCCTTCTGTGATTTCTTCCGACGTTTCTTGTGTTGGCGTGTAGTGAGCTTCGTCACCATATTGCAGTGATTGCCTCTCTTCACCCGTCGCTGAACTATCATTTCCAGATCTCGATCCCCAAGGGCAGCATTTCTCTCGGATACTGCACCCAAACTCGAAAATGGCCTCCACAAACGTAAAGAAGCTGGTCTGGAATTGCTCCACAGCACGAAAACCAATACTCACCAGCCAAAGATGTTCAGCGCGCTTCTCATTTTCCATCTCAAGTAACTCACGCTGCATGTCACGGTATCGCCTTCGGTAGTTACTCACGAACTCTCTCATCTTGCGATTTCGAGCACTGCAAAAGTGGCAGATCATCCAGACGCCCAGGTAGATCGCTTGCATATAGAAGCCACACTGAATGTAATCGAGAAAAGCTGCCAGCGGAGATAAATTTGCTAGCAGAGAGACCATGAAGGTCCACATCGTGATCAGCTCGAACACAAATGGACATAACACATCTGTGATGACGAGCGTGGAGAAATCCAGCGGTGGTCCGTCGAAATGCGTAGTGTTGAACTTGACTGTCGTGCTTGCAGCTTGAAACGCTCGTTTCCACCGAGACGACGGCGAGTTCTCTTCACTACTGCTACTGCTGCTGCTGTTGCTTCTGTGACGAAGGAAGCGGCTGCTATGCTTCTGGCCAGATTCCTCACTCTGTTGTCTCTGGAATAGCAATTCCAGTTCATATCTTTTCTCGTCTTCAGACTCCTTGTTATTGTCGTCAAAAGGGTCGTTTGTGTAGATGGTGCTAAGCAAATATCTCGGTCCAGCAGTGATCCAGCTAACTAATCGCGCCCATGCTTCTTGATCCTCGTCATCACCTCGAAAGGCGTCAAACTGTTCTCTCTCCATTCTGTCATCGGGCATCTCGCGCCAGTGACGCAAGTAGTGGACGCAGACACACAACGAGAGACGAAAATTGGCGAGACTACCCTCTCTCGTGTCAATGGCGTCCAGGAACAGCCGACTGGATTCTTCAAAGCAGTAGGATAGGAATATAAGCGCGAACGGCAGGAAGGCCAGTAGCACAATGGCTCGCACGGTGAAGTACGGATCCATGCGTGCACTAGGCAAGAAGATGGCGAAGAAGATCTCCATGAGGAACGTGACACTGAACATGAGGATGCACATGAGTACCAAGAACGAGAAATAGCCCAGCCGGAACTGACACAGCGTGCGATACAATGTCCATTCGCCCTCCTCATTCGACAGCTTCTGCAGCTCCGCGCGTCGTCCAGCCTGCGTGGCCATGCGGTCGTCGCGACTCGCCTCGGGGCTCTCCATCTTGAGACGAGAACTGATTCAAGGATACTTTGCGTGCGGCGGTGATGACGTTGGCAAACCGGTATCGGCGGTATCGAACATAGTAAAACCAAGTGAATCGCAACCGCACTTTTGTTTTAGGCAAGATGATGTGGAAGGTGTTCTCGTCCCGGGAGAGTATTCGCGTGCTGCGTGGCAGTCGCGCCTTGTCCTCAAGCGCGCGGAGCCGAGTGAAGATCATCGGCTCGGACGAGGCGTACACGCAGATCGTCACGGTGCGTGCGATTGCGTGCTGTTTGATGGTTTCGAGTCGATGCTTACAAAGAGATCTCGTCTGTAGGAGGGAACGGGTCGCAAGGCGATCGTGTACTTCACGGCCAAGTGGTGCCCACCGTGCAAGATGGTCGGCCCCATTTACGACGAACTGAGGTGGGTGCTTCATTGTATGGGGTGGATTAAGCATCTGGTTGACGTGGTGGCGATGCAGCGCCAAGTACGAGGACATCGATTTTGCCAAGCTGGATGTCGATGAGTTGAACGACACCACCTCCAAGGCTGGCGTGCGCGTGAGTATCAGCGCTTTTTTCTCTACGAGATGAGGTCAGTGTTTTCGCTAACATGACCGTGTCCTGTTCCGTTGCTGCTGTAGTCGATGCCCACGTTCTTCTATTTCAAGGACGGCAAGTTCCAGCAGTCGCTTTCGGTACGAATATGTTACGTTGAAGTTGCTCTGAATTGCAGCTGACTTTGAACTGCGTTTTCAATGATTTCCACAGTTTTCCGGTGCCGACGAGGAACTTCTACGCAACAACGTCAAGCAGTTGAGCGACCTGTAAGTACAGCCCAACTGAAGCGAGCGAGAAATATATGCGCCCTGCAGGTGCAGACGTTGACTGCGACTGGATAACATCAATGAGTATATGTACTGCCGCTGCTGTCCTGCACCGTCACCATTTAGATCTCCGCGTTTCCCAGCACTTTTAAAACTGAGTATACTGTCGTTAATGGCGACAATACCGTAGCTCACCTGCACTGCAGTTGAAACGTTACGAGGCCTTCCAAGATTCACTTGGTTAGAACGGATCTCGTTAATCGCGACAGCCTCACGATTCCTGTGACAATTCGCTACCGATTTAGTACCGGTAATTGATTGGTTGCCAAAAGATTTTTTTTTGGAGAGCAAGCGTTGCACTTCTTGGTCACAAGCAAACTTGCCAAACGCCACTAGCATCGTAGCCTGAGTTTCGTGTCATCCTGTGCTTCCAATCCAACTCAGATCAATGGCTGACAACGAGAAGCACCCCTCTGGGTACGGGGCCATCCCGAGCCACGTGCGACAAGGAACCGGAGCTAGCCCACCGCCGCTGAGTCCGCTGATGCTTCACGTGAACAAACACACCAACGCGCTTAAGGGCTGGGAGTTCCCCGGCTGGGGGGACAACTCTTCGACGGTGGCGAGTGACAGCGAGCTAAATGAGATCCAAGCGCACCTGTCTACGGACCACACCAAGCTGTCAGAGTGGCTAGCCACTGCTATCTGCGGGAACGATATCTTATCCAGCTGTCTGTACGTGTCGGGACTCGTGGCGTCCAAGGCGGGAAAGCTGGCACCGGTGGCGCTTGCCATCGTGGCTGGTATCTTATACCTATACCGTTTCATCTACGGAGAAGTATTGAACGCTGTCCCTCTCAACGGAGGCTCGTACAACGTCCTGCTTAACACCACGTCCAAGCGCGTGGCTGCCATGGCTGCATCGCTCGCGATCTTGTCGTACATTGCCACGGGTGTGGTCTCTGGAACGTCAGCCTGCAACTACTTGGCTTCGCACGTGCCTTCGCTGGAGATCGTGCCGGCTACGGTCGGTTTGCTGTTTATTTTTGCCGTCCTGAGTCTAATTGGCATCACGGAAAGTGCTATCGTGGCACTTGTGATCTTTATTGCGCACGCTACGACACTGGTAGTGCTCTGCGTTTTGTCTGCGATCTATGTCGTGAAGGATGACTTCCAGACGCTGTGGGCGAACTTCGATACGGACTTCCCGGACATCAACCTCGCAGGTGACATCATGTCAGGCAACTTCTTGACAGCCATCTTCTTTGGCACGTCGACTGCTATGCTTGGTATCTCCGGCTTCGAGACGTCTTCACAGTTTGTAGAGGAACAGGCCGATGGCGTCTTCCCTAAGACTCTGCGGGTACGTTCTTCTGCGCTATCCTTCAGTTCAATGATTAGTATCTTGTGACTAACTTGCTTGTATTGTCTGCTTTGGTCACCAATTAGAACATGTGGTGGGGCGTGGCTATCTTCAACCCGATGATCGCTCTGCTCTCGCTCGGTGTGCTGCCGCTGAACGGCCCTGGCGGTATTGTGGACAAGAGGAACACTGTTTTGGCTGAAATGGGACTGAAGGTTGCGGGCGAGAAGATGCAGCTTATTGTGGCTCTGGACGCGTTCATCGTACTTTCCGGTGCTGTGTTGACTGCATATGTCGGTGTTGTTGGTCTTGTCCGTCGACTTGCCAGCGACCGTGTGGTTCCAGAGTTCCTGCTTCATGTGAACAAGGCACGTGGCACGAACCACTTTATCATCATCGGATACTTTATGGTGGCTACGAGCTTGGTGTTGATCTTGCATGGTGACACGGAGACGCTGTCGGGTGTATACACCTACGCCTTCCTGGGCCTCATGACGCTGTTCGGCACTGGTTGCATGCTACTCAAGTTCAAGCGTGCTGAGATTCCTCGGACGGTGATCGCACCCTGGTGGAGCTGCATCCTGGGTGTGTCGATGGTGGTGACCACGTTCATGGGCAATTTACTGGGCGACCCGACGATCCTGACGTACTTCTCGCTCTACTTCATCGCGGTGCTGTCGCTGGTGTATATCATGTTCGAGCGCACCTTCCTGTTGCGGATGTGTCTGTACTGCATGCGGCAGTTATGTCCGTCTCAACGCAGCAACGATGAGGACGAGACCCACTCGCTCCGTACGGGTGCGCGTGGCGGCCAGACAATTGCGCGATTCATCCGTGAGATCAACGAGCCGGCCGTGTTTTTCTTCTGCAAGACTCCGAACCTGAACATCATCAACAAGGCCATTTTGTACGTGCGTACCAACGAACAGACACACACGTTGTTCATCGTGCATTGCCACCCACGCGGTACTGCCGTTCCGGAGGGCTTCAAGGAGACGGTATCCATGTTCGACCATGTTTACCTCAAGATTAAGCTTAATTTCTTGAGCGTTGAGGGCCCGTTCGGCCCTGCCATGGTCGAGTGGGTTTCGCGCAAGTACAGCCAGCCCAAGAACCTCATGTTCATTAAGCAGCCCAACCACAACTTCGCGCACACCATCGCGTCACTCGGCGGCGTGCGGGTGATCACCGGATAAAATGCGTGGCCCGTGGATAGGCGGTGTCAGAAATTACCCCCCACTTCAACTTTGATTGCTGACCTACAAAACACACGTTTTATAGATGAGAGTTCCTAGAGCCTGCCACAGTAACTGTATCCGTCAACCGAATTCGTGCTGTGCTGCCAGCGTTTGGCCTAAACTGTTTGGTGCCAGCGGTGAAACGTGTATGCTGAGCCCAGCACAAGTTGTACGATTGCACAGTACCGCCGAACTGCAATTTCTGCTGCATCCATTTGTATTTCCTTCCATTTCTTCTCTTGGCGCGAATAGCGAAAGTGTTCTGTTCGGAGATGCGTTTCGCTAATACTAGTAATGTTCAACGCTGCGTCGAAAAGGCACTGCTGGCTTCATGAATCCACTGGATTAAAATTGCATAGGGAACGGAAACATGGTTCACAGCAAGCTCTGGAAGTGTACATGCTCATGATGTTCTCTTGTTTGTAAGTTATGTTTCGATAGATAAAAACTGTACACGGCAAGCGCCGCCTTCGATGCCGGCGGTTTGGTTGGGTGAAGATCTAACGGAGAGCAACTAGCTTGACACTCTACTCGTGGATCGTGGCAAGACGTGGGAGACACTTGGGCTTCCGGGTCTGCGACTGTACCGAGAAACGCGCTTCCGCTTCCTCTAGCTTCTTTACGCGCTTAGCGGCCGACGACAAGTGCACTTTGCGAGAGCGCGGTCGGCCCTCAGCACGGTGGGGACGACCACCTCCCGAAAAGCTGCCACGTGTGAAGTTCAGTAGCTCGTTCCGAGCAAGTCCAGGGTCCGAATGACGGGACGTGGACGTGCTAGGCGGCTGCTTGTAGGCTGAGCGTTCCCACTCGGAGTTTAAACTCTGCCGAGCCGCAGGCAATGAAGTGTTGTCGTTCCACGAATGCGTGCGGGAGCGACGGTCGTTCGTGTAAGACAGCAAATTAGGCATCGTAGTGCGCTTCACGGCCAGTCCACTATCGTCTTCCTGAAGCTGATTATCCTTCTGTGTAGTGCTGTTTATCGTAGACGCCTCCTCCTGCTGCTGATCTGCCTTCGAATCAGTCGACGGTTTAATGAGCTCATCGCTGTCAGTGTGTGTCCACTCCTCGGTGCAGCTCCGCACAGCTTCCTCGCGGTAGTCCGAGTAGCCGCTGAGTCGGTCAGTGCGATTCACCATTGAAATGGAACGGTGCGAGAGACCGCTCATCGATACCTGCTTCTCGCCCGCTGACGCTTTGCTGCTTCGGTCGGCGCCGCTGGCCTCGCTCATGTCAACGTTCAAATACGTGTAGCGCATGTCGTTGACCATGAGGAATTTATCCATAAGCAGCCGCGTCTGGCACGTCATGCTCTCTCGACATGTGCGTGCGTGCTTGGCGACTGCGTCGAGAAATGCATTGAGTCCGATTCGGCGAGCCTCCAGCGTCTTCTCGCGCAGGTTGCCAAAGAGTCGGCGATGCGGGAAGAGCACGAAGCAGGTACGCTTGGACATGATAGAGCAGTGTGCGCACATGTCGCCGCGCTTGACAGCCTCCTCAAGCGCGAGCTTAAAGTTGCGGAACTCGGAGTAGCGTCGATAGACCGTCCAATTGAGGCCAGGCGAGCGCTCATCGGACACCCGCACGAGATACTGCGTGTATGTGTGCGCGCCCGACGCTGAGGGCTTGGAGACGTGGGCAATAGTAGTGTGCAGCACTCGCTGTGGCGTGGTTAGGACGCTCTGCATGACCATGGTCGTCTGCTGTTTACCTGCTCCGTCTTCGAGCGAGGAAAACGGGGAGTGAAGGAAGGCAGAGACGCAGATGACGAGCGGGCACAGCCGCTGGTGGACAACTTGAACTTAGAGATGTGGTGGCGCCGAGTCGACTTCACCTTCACCTGGAGCCGTTCCACTCAAGACGCCGATCCGATAATGAGCGGCCCGGCAGCTTCCCCCATCGCGGACATCTGCTGACTTCCGTAAATAAAGACGGACCGAAGAGCAATTTCTTTAGAAATTCCACCAAATTTATTTACCTGTCATTCTCGCTGTAGCAGATTTGGGAGTTTTGATCAGATATTTGATTGGTTAGTTGTGATATCTGATTTCTTTTCTCCGGGCATGCGCATGCAGTAAGGAAGGTGCAAAATTCTCTGCGTGTCCATCTCTCCTAGGTTCAATCTATAAAGTTGAAAGTGATGGACTTTAGGTTTCTTGTGGTACACCAGTATCCCGGTGTTTGTCTTGCCCAGATCTCGCAGCTCCCTGCAGCATTGCCAATGCTGCAGTGGCATCAAGCACCGCTCCTTCGCGGCCGCTACAGGCTGTTGCCTACAGCTCATGTTTTGCGCAGTCACGGCTCGGTGAAGCTTGAATAGCGGCTGCGCTCTGACGACGCGTTATCTGCGAAGATGCCTCTGGCCCACACGTCTGCTGCAAAGCACCGGGGCACAGGCACGATCAAGTCTGCAGATTTGTGTGAGTGCAGTTTACGCTGACGAAGACACAACTCGTGGTAGGCCCAAACTGTATGCAAAGTTGCAAAACAAAAATCGCTTTCGCGATAGCCGCCACCTTCCGCGAGGCATGTAGCGGCTAAATTAGCTCAAGTGTTGAGCAGGGCGGACCTCGTATTTGTAAAATACGTCTTCCAGTGGTGTCCGGGATAGTCGTGCTGAGAAGGCTCTCTCTGCCTGCTGTCCCGACGGTCATCCGATGGCGGCACCACGCGGTGATATTGCTGGGTTTGCATGCGGACGTGGCAGATGAGCTTCATGTTCAAGCGATGTAATATCGCTGTTATGAACACAGTTCTCACCATCGTACTGGAAACCAGTTCAAGTTCAACTGGATTCAGCAATAGCATTGCCGTTGTTGCCATGTCGGCAGCGCTGTTGCCACGGGATCTCTTCATTCCAGCGAGAATGCGTTGGCTTCACAAAGCTAACTTAGGCAGAGAACCGACGCCGTTGTCCGGTCTCACGGAGCTTGCCATTCATCTGAACTGCTAAAACTGGGCAGCACGATGAACTAGCTGTTTCACACACTATTCTTGCTTCACTCCGGTTCATTTTACAGTCGTTACCGCACTGCGTCTACCTCCGCCAGCGTCTACATCTACTTCGGCCGACGTTGTCAGCATAGGTGATTAATTAATCTCCTCCCACCGAAGCCCCTGTCATGCTCCCGAAAGCGGTCAGAGCGCATGGATTACCAAAAGGCGAGCCGGCATTGCCAACCTATCTAAGTTGGCTGCCTCAAATTCGTCCGGAAACCTACAGTTGAGAGATAATGCTTGGCAGAAAAGTAAATCAGCAATAAGTGACAGATTAGCAATATAGAGACTAGTGTCGGAGTAATAAGCTACGCGAATACATTCAGCCTTACCCAAGGACATGTAGACGGAAAGCTACAGTAGATGAATTTCCAATAGGCTCGGTGCGTTCATGTATCAGTGTAAATTTGTACCTCTCCGTCCACAAGAACCCAGTGCTCCTGTAGGATTATCAGTCAGAGCAACGGCTACCGGTATGCTGACAGGGAACTGAAGCAATTTACCATCACCAAATCATGGCACTGAAATGGTCACGGTTCACATTTGCTATCAACTTACAGCTCACTTCTCCGCTGGCGCACTGGGAGCAGCCTCCGCCTCAGCAGCAGATGCATCGGGGATAATCTCCTCCAACTTTTCCAAAGCCGTCGCCTGTACTGCGTACAGCCTCTTTTCATCCTCTACAGCCTCCTGAAACTCGCCAACTATCTTCAGTAGCAAGTCCTTCTTTATGTTCACGGAGGCAAACACCTGCGCGGCATCATAGCCCGCATCCCGGCACGAGATGTACGCCGCCGCATACGCCACCATGAACGGTGGGTACAAGAGGATGATGTCCGTGCGATAAGAATATTGAACGAGTTGCCTGTCAAACGACCATAATCACGATCGTTGTGGCATATTAAGTTAGGGACATTTCTTCTTGAGAACAGAAGAAAAGGCCTACCAAGCGAGCTGAAGACACTCCTCATGAATTTCAAACTCGTCCAGAAACCTACAGTCAAGTGACAAATTATTAGTACGAAGTAGACGGGAAATACAATACAAGTTGATGTAGCCGTACTGGAGGAGTGACGGGAACGGGTGGTGCAAGATCAAGTCGAACTGCAGCGCCTCGATCACGTAAAACTCGCATTCGAGGATATCCTTATCCTGGAAGGTGTACATTGACTCGTCCTCATCGACGCCAGCTACATCGTAAACAGAAACAGAGTGTTAGCTTTAATGTTTGGCATCGGAACTGGTTGTTTTCGCATACTCGTGGTATAATGATGAAGAACAGAAGCGACCGTTGTCAACGATAGCTGACTCTCCTCCACCTTGGAGGCCAGGAAGAACACCGTTCCGACGACCAAATGGGGGTCAAAGTTCACGAAACTCTGCCTGAGAAGTAGCAGTTGTAGACAATACCACTCGTTAAGGCACCTCAGCTCTGCTCCTTCAAAAATTGCAGTAGGCTTACGTCTGGTAAAAGCGACGGTAGAAGATGATGGCCGTATAAATAATGATCTGGCGAACTCGCAAGCGGGGCCCAATCTCCTCGAGTACTTCCGCAAACACCAGAAACCACCAAATCATCAGCATCGTCTTCCACCCTTTTAGAAACCCAAGCAAAAAGTCAAGTTGTGTACTACTCACGCGAAATGTTGGCGAGGTGGATGCTGTCGATTTCGTCGTCCGCCAGGTGCCTGCGGTCCTGCGGGTTCCTCTTGCGCAGGTCGGCCTTGGTCACGTCCTTCATCCAGTACAAACTGCATCGCCATAGGCAGAACACATTGACATATTTCAGCGCTTCGACTAGTCAGTGTCGTGCATGTATACATGAGTTCTACGCACTAGTGCGTCGAGTGCCAGAAGTTCATGCCCATGGTGCCCAAGTGCGTCGTCGTCGCCGGTCTGCAGTAGCGAAATGCAATCTGCACACTAACTGGTCGAAAAATCATGAATTTTAACGAATCAGCCTCTCTGACAGAATCAGATTATCTAGATCTTCCAGTTTTGTCAATGAGAAAAACGGACAAAGTTGAACTGAGTTCATCGAACTTCATGCCATAAGCGGATCGGCGTTGTCAAAGGTAAGCGACTGGGGAGAAGAAACGCGCAATTACGCAGACAATGATAGTGCCTCTTCATTCGTTACTGCTGCTCCCCGCTCTCCTGGCTGCGTTCGTGCTCGCGGAGAAGCCTCCGTTGAGCTACAGATACGCAGACACTCTACGCGACGCGCTGAGCAGAGATCCACGCCCCATTGTCCACCACGAAGACAATGTATGGGATGTCAACCGTGACGATGAAACAGGGTTTTTGCTAGGTATGGGCAATGAAAATGTAGCCAAGGATCTGGGCAGTGTCACGCTGACTGCGACACCGCCGCTACTGAGGGACGGAGAGGATCTGGTTATCTCTTGGAACGGAGTGAAGCGTCCGCATCAGACGGACTTTGTGGGTCTCAGCTGTGGCCCCAAGGCCCACGACAAGGACTTCCTGGTCAAAATTGGCATCACGGAGGCCAATGGACCAGGAGCCGATGGCCCCGAGCTGCCCAACTCTATCCGCTTTTCGTCGCTGTACATGATGCGCTGCAACTACACTGTCGAGTATTTCAACTTCCAGCCTAAAGGCAACGTCTTCACACCCCTTGCCAAGCTGGAGGTGGGTATGGTTGAAGCTTTCACTGCTCCAAAGCATGGACATATTGCCTTGACTGAGAACGTCGATGAGATGTCAGTGATGTTCAACTCGGCCTCCCGCGAGACGCCAGTGGTCAAGTATGGCCTCGATCCTGCGGCTTTGAACAAACGTGCTGAGGGTAAGTCCAAGACGTACACAGCTGCGCACTTGTGCAATCGTCCAGCGAACCTCTCTAGCCAGCAATGGTTCCGTGATCCGGGTAACATGCACACAGTCATCTTGAAAGGCATGAAATTGGGAACGCGATACTTTTACAAGTTTGGTAGTGACAAGGACGGCTGGAGTTCAGTCTATTCGTTTGTGAGCCGCCCGGATGAGTCTGTCAAGAGCGCAAAGTTCATTGCATACGCTGATATGGGCGTCGATCCTGCACCTGCTGCGACGTCTACTGCTGTGCGTTCATATCAAGACGTGATGGATGGCTACGACAGCTTCCTTTTGCACTTTGGAGACATCAGCTACGCCCGAGGCCACGCACACATGTGGGACGAGTTCTTTCACGTGATTGAGCCCTACGCTACCAGAGTTCCATACATGGTTAGCATAGGCAACCACGAGTATGACTACGTGACTGGTGGTGCTAATGATCCTAGCGGAGCTGTAGGCGAGGATGGCAGAATGGACTTCCATCCGGACTGGGCCAACTATGGAGAAGACTCGTCAGGTGAATGCTCGGTGCCGATGTTCTACCGCTGGGATGCTCCTGCTAACGGCAACGATATCTACTGGTACTCGTTCGACTACGGTGGCATCCACGTCATCCAGATTTCATCAGAGCATGATTGGCGTCGTGGATCGAAGCAGTACAAGTGGTTGGAAAACGACTTGAAGAATGTGGATCGGAAGAAGACACCGTGGGTCGTTCTAACGTCGCACCGGATGATGTATACAACACAGCTTGGCGAGGAAGCCGACTACAGAGTGGCTCAGCACTTTCGCGACGAAGTGGAGGACTTACTTTGGACGCATAAAGTGAACTTGATGCTTGTGGGTCACCAGCACTCGTACGAGCGCAGCTGTGCTGTGCGTAATGGGAAGTGCACTGAAGACGGTAAGGGACTCGTCCACATTGTGATTGGATCTGCAGGCGCTGGTTTGGAAAAGCAAGGCTTCTCTAACAAACTCGGCGAGTGGAGTGTGAGCCACCTGAACGACTGGGGTTACTTGCGCATTGACTCGACCGAAGAATCCATGAGCGTGCAGTTCATCCTGAACCGCAACGGCATAGTGTACGATGAAGTCACTTTGACTCCGTGGAACTAGCGTGGCGAAACTGCGTGTATTCATATGCGAACACTCTTTACATGTCTTCACATGAGAATGAATTTGCAATGCGGTGCGGCATCAGAAGAAACAACGATCAACTAAGTTGGAATTACGGTCTTGCGTCCGTCATTCAATTAGTCTGCCTACTACCGTTAGGTGCATCTACAAATCCCGGTCTACAACTTCGTCGTCGTCCTCAGTAGCCTTCGAGAATTTCGAGTTGTCTTCCTCGTCCTCGTCTAAGATCTTGTCAAACTTAGCATCCTGGTCGTCGTCGTCTTCATCATCATCCTTGAGAAGATCCTCGAGGTCCGGTACCTTGACACCATCAATGTTGTCCTGGTCCTTCTGTGACATATCGCTTAGAAGCTTGCCGCTGTAAATATCGTCCGTGAACTGCTTAGTCAGCTCCATGTACTCGTCAAAGTCCGTAGGCTGGTTCTTGACCCACACGCAGAAGCAAGCGAAGGCAATAAGACCAACAACGCGGTAGATACGCTCCGACGGGTCCGTAGATCGCAGCGAGTAGAGCGGCACGAACGAGTCAGCCACGGACAAGTTGTCGTCGAAGATGTTGGGTAGCAGCCAGTACTCGTAGCCGATCATCCAGAGAATGAAGAAGATGAAGAGACGCACCACCACGAAGATAGCAATGAAGATAAGGAAGGTCACAGACATGTACCACAGCGCCACCTTGGCCCACTGCGGCCAGATGGGGAAGCAGGTAATGATCAGGAAGCCAATGATTAGCAGCGCCGTCATAATGTTGCGGAGCGTCTTGGACCCTTCGTACATCCACGTGTAGTATCCCTCAGGCGAAAAGTCCTGCTTGGGCGTGGGCTTAAGAATCTTCTTGTTCTTGGCGTCGCGCTCCGAGCGGTGGATGTAGCTGTTCTGCACGAGCGCGTGGCCCACCGAGTTGACGTCCTCCTTGGTCTTTAAGTCCGGGAAGTACTTCTTGGCCATTGGGCTGGCCAGCAAGAAGGTGGCCAAACGGTCGCCGCGGAAGTACTCCACGCGCTTGCCAAGCTCCACAGCGTGGCGCGAGGGCATGCCCTTGCGTCCGCGAAGCAGGTCAGCCATCTTGCGGATACCCTTTTCCGTCTCCCAGGACTTGTCCGCCGTCTGTGCAAACAGAGAGGAAATGCATTAGTCTCGTCGTCTTGAGAACACATTTCTCGCCTCCCACAACAGCGTTGAGCGCGCAGAAGGTCGGAAAACTACGGACAGAGATAGAGAGTGCATACCGTGGACACGGCGTCCGTCTTTGAGGTGTCGTCAGCGCTCATAACTCCAGGCAAAAGCTGCTTGTGATAGCTCGATCCTACGCGTGGCTTGATTGATAGTGAGGCAAGACAAGACCAGCCCGTCAACTTCTCGATGCCCTAAAACAACAACCGTGTGGTCGTTTCCCGTCACAACCCCTCAATCTGCAACGAGTGACGTGTCGTGTCATATGGTGTGTCAACATAACGACGTGCTCAAACTTTTTATAGCCGATAAAACGTTTTATTAATTGTTTTATCGCATGTTTCGCCACTTGTCGCCAAAACCAGCTTCGACTCGAGCCCCGCCCAGATGAGCGTCTCTGGCATCGTGCGCCCGCGCTTCGTGTACGCCGGGGCGGGCTCCACACTGCAGTTCCCACTGGGCCAGTCGCCCTTGCATACGTCCGATCCGTCGACTGACTCGTCAGCGCTTGAGGGGCGTCTCCAGGATGCGTATTTCGTGGCCCCAGCCTCGCACATCGGCCGTGTCGTCACGGGTGTCGTGTTCGTCGCCGAACAGAGTCGCGTGAGCCGCGCATTCGCTTCAGGCACCAGCGCCACTGACCGCTTTGGCCTCACTGCCATTTCGTTCGCTGACAAGCTGGCGGAGCAGGGCTACAAGGTGCTGGTGCTGGATCTGTTCCAGGAGGGAAAGGCGGACACCAACACGCAGGAGCATGCGGCGATCGTGCAGCAGGCAGCGCTTTATCTCAAGCACAAGCATGACATTCAGCGCGTAGGTCTCTGCGGCGAGGGAGCAGGCGCCGATCTGGCGATCAAAGTGGCTATGGAGAAGTCTGCTACCATTGACTGCGTCGTCGCCATGTGTCCCAAGGGTGCAGTGTCCTGGAAACCCATAGGAGAATCGGACGGTGCAGATACAACAGAGCCGCCTATTATCCCTCTATTGCTACAGCTCGGCGAGAAATCTTCCTACGCTGCATCTGACGCAGTACGGTTTGTACAGGTTATTGCGATCCTTGAGCAGCACTGTTGGTGGCTAACGGTGTGTCTACTTGTGATTGCTACAGTACCAGACGTTGTTGTGCTCGTGTGCAGCGAACCCACAGGCTGCCACGGCCCTCAAGGCGTCGCTATTCGTGAACCAGCAAAGCGGCTTCGCGTTCTCCAACATCACGGATGAAGACGCGGCGACGCAAGCAATCGCAGAGATTCTAGACTGGCTTGTGCAGCACCTGCATCGCTTCCAGATGGCTGCGGCTACCAGCGATACCGACCCGTGGTGGCCTCAAGGCCGCAACGGACCTTTCTTCAACGTGGGGCTACGCACATGGCAGGAATCGCGTGCGACCTGGCTAATGGCCACACAAACGCGGTGCGTAGTTATGGCTGGAACTGAACTTGACATACTACTTGAACTGATTGATTAAACTTGTTACAGTCCGCCACGTCCGCCTCCGGTACCTGCTCACTTGCTGTTCGACGGACTATCGTCGGTGCGTCGGACTTTCGATCTACCGCAGCGGATGCGCCTTGGTGATGTCATTGAACTGTTCGCCGAGATCTGGGAAGTGCAGCAATAGCCTCTGTGAGTTCTCAGTGAATCTACGAAGGCGAGGGCTTGTTAATCCTCACGTATCAGTAGTTTTCATTTCGTCTTGGTCCGCTTGCTCACGTGTTTCTATCGTTGTGCATCTTGAGTCAACGAATTCAGTCCAGCATGCTCGTGCCCTATTTGAGTGGACACCAAGAACAGAAAGGTGCGTTCATTGCATCTAGGTCACTCACTATAAATACGAGGAGGCATGATATCCGAAAATGGCAAGGCGTTTTGAACATGAAGGCGCTATACTTGGGAGGAAACGACAAGCCGAGCTCAGCGACAGCAGCAATCCGGAAACACTGTGTGTCCTGCGACGATGAGCGGCAGGGGTCAAGATGAGCAGCCGACTGGGCCAGAAACATCGTCATCTGATGCAAAGCTGCTTGGAGATGACGCAGCATTGGAGGCTACGTCGCTGGAGGCACTCGAAAGCGACTTCGAAGAAGTGCTAGCAGAGCTGGAAGGTGATAAAAGCTTGGAGCGATTTCGTCTCGAATACGAGAAACTGCACCGAGCGTTGAAGAAGTCTAATGGGCAGGAAAAGAAGCTCATTAAGAAATGTCGTGAGTTAAATGCTGAGATCATCAACAATGCTGCCAAGGTACAGACAGCTCTCAAGCTCTCGCAGGAGGATCAGGCCAGTATCGCATCATTGAAGAAAGAGATGGAGAAGGCGTGGAAAATGGTGGATGCGTCCCACGAGAAAGAACTTCGTGCCAAGGAGACGATTCAGCAGCTCAAGGATGAAATTGTCAATCTTGGTCGCCTCGTGGAGCAAGGGACTGGACTAAGCGCTGGACAGGAAAGTATGTTGAAGGAGGTTATGCGTGCCAAGGAGGAACTGATGCGGGCCAATGAGGAGCACGAAGTCAACGCTAAGAAGGACCACGAAAGGATCCAAGAGCTGCATCGTCGTCTGGCTGATATGGACACCCTTACTGCTACGCAAAAGAGTGATATTCAAACTCTAAAGGACCAGCTCGCGATGAAAGCTGCAGAACAAGAGCGGGAGATCCGACGCAAGGAACGACTGGATAAAGAGATCAAAGACGTAAAGAGTAAGTTGGAGAAGAAGACAACAGAGCAAGCTCAAGGCGCGACGGAGCTTACCCGCCTACAGACTCAAGTTGGAGCGCTTGAGAAGCAGCTCGCGGAGGCTCGTGGTACGATGGACAAATATGTCCGCGACTATGAGACGCTATTCGGACGTACCCAGAAGCTCACAGATCTGCTTAACGAGCAAAACGATAAGACCATGCAGCTTGAAGTGGAGCGACGCAACCTGGAGAACGAGCTCAAGACCCGACACGATGAAATCCACCGCGTGAAGCTCGAGAAGGGAACTGTGGAACGCAAACTGGACAAGGAGAAGCGGCTGTTGCAACAGCTTGAGCAGAAACTTGAGGGCGAACACACAGCCAAGATCGTGCTGCAAACTCAGATCAAGAGCATGCAACACGACCTTGATCAGGACAAGATCAATGAGGACCATGCACGTACAGAGTTGGAGGCGTTGGAGCGAGAGAAAGCCATGCAAATCAAGCAGACTTTGAAGGCAGAAGGCAAGGTTCGTCGTGCACAGGATGAGATCAAGACCAACGAGCGCGTAGCCAAGAACTTGGAGCAAGAGTTGGCTGGATTCAAGCTCGAAGCAGCGAAGCAGCGTAAGCTTATTTACCAACTGGAAAAGGAACGGGAGAAGTATGGCATGGAAGCAGCAGAACAGCGTAAACTGTTCTTGCAATCTGAAGAAGAGGGAAAGCTGAAGGAAATGCGAAACCACGACTTGCAGAAGAAGGTCCACGAAGGAGAGACCAAGTTGAAGCAGCAACAACAGCTTTACGAGGCTGTACGCAGTGAGCGTAACCTGTACAGCAAGAACCTCATCGAATCGCAAGATGAGATCGCCGAGATGAAGCGCAAGTTTAAGATCTTGACTCATCAGATCGAGCAGCTCAAAGAAGAAGTTGCAGCCAAAGATGTTGCGTTAGTCAAGGAGCACTTTGATCACCAGAAGGTGGAGAAGCAAAAGGAACAACACAAGAGCGAACTTGCTCGCTTACGAGCTCTCCTGGCGGCAAACGAAGAAACGATCAACAACCAGGACGCAGAGGTGCGCAAGCTCAGTACTCTCATTCGGCGTATGGACGATGAGGCTCTGGAACAGCGTAAAGAGTACGACCAGGTTATCAATGAGCGCGACATTCTAGGCACCCAGCTTATCCGACGCAACGACGAGCTTGCACTTCTGTACGAGAAGCTCAAGATTCAGCAGTCCACACTAAGCAAAGGAGAAGCTCAGTACCAAGAGCGACTGCAGGATATTCGCGTGCTGAAGTTGAAAGTGACAGACCTGAAGCGCGAGCTGTATATTGCCAAGCACCAAGTGGGTCAAGCTGATGAATTGAAGCGTGAAGTGTATCATCTTCAACGTGAACTGCTCCAGGAAAAAACGAAGGTAAAGGCTTTATCGGAGGAACTAGAGAACCCCATGAATGTTCATCGATGGCGCAAACTCGAAGGAAGTGACCCAGCAACATACGAGTTGTTGCAGAAGATTCAGACTCTTCAAAAGCGACTTATTCAAAAGACTGAGGAGGTCGTTGAGAAGGAACTCGTGAACCAAGAGAAGGAGAAACTTTATCAGGAGTTGAAGGCGATTCTAGCCCGACAACCAGGCCCTGAAGTTGCAGAACAGTTGAGCTGGTACCAACAGGTCGTTCGAGAAAAGGAGAAGCAGCTTAAGAGTTTGCTTAGTGAGCAGAATATGTTCCAAGCCAAGGAGCATGAGCTCAAGTTCGAGATTGAGCGTCTAGCGCGCGAGCTACATGAATTCAAGCGCAAATACTACAAGAAAAAGCTCGAGGCCAAGATGAAAGACAAACAACCTGTCATCCTAGCCTCGAGGAACCAGCAGCAGACTCAATTACCAAACATCCCGAGTAATAACAGCAGTAAAGCTAGTCGACCGAGTCCTGCTGAGCAACAACGACAACTAGCAATCGCAGCAGCAAACCGCTTTGTAGGCGGTGGTTTTAGTCTCAACCAATAGTTTATATATATTACGTTCTTCAGTAGTAGTAAATACTCAAAAGACTCCAGTACTACTGTGAATGATTGTAGTATTATGGTCTCGAAGTTAGTTTATGGTCTTCTCACCAATCTACAGCTCATCTTTTCCATCGACAACAGGCTCATCAGCTTCCTCAGTAGCCTCAGCCTGCGCCTCCGACTCATCCAAGTCCTCTGCTTCTTCCTCCTCATCTACTTCCTGCTCCTCTTCCGGGACCTCAATTTCGGGCTCCAATTCCAAGCTGTCGATACCCATGCTGCTCTTCATAATGCGGTGCACGCGCGTCGAGAACTGGGTGGTATCCGTCATATCGAAGCCCGAGTTGATAAGAGCCGTATCGTAGAGCAACCATGCAAGGTCCTTGGTCTCCTCCTTTTCAGGATCGCTCACCATCAGCTCATTCAACTTAGAGACGATCGGGTGACGAGGGTTCAACTCGAGGATTGCAGATCCAGTGCCGTACATGGGGGAGTTCTTATCACCATTGCCAAAAGTCTGCGCCTTCATAATGCGCTGCATGTTGGCTGAGTAACCCCACTGGGACGTCACCATAACCGCAGGCGAGTCCACAACACGCTGCGACATGGTCACACGAGAAATCTTGTCGCCGTAGAGCGTCTTGAGAGCGGTCGTGAGAGCCACGTACTTGTCCGCGTAAAGCTGCTCACGCTTCTGCGTGAGCGACTCGTCCTCGTCACCGAACTTAATGCCTTCCTTTGTAATGGACACCAGTTTCTTGCCATCGAACTCCGAAATGTGCGACACCATGTACTCGTCCAGAGCATCAACGAAATACAGCACCTCAAGGCCCTTGGCACGCATCTTCTCCATGAACGGGGACTTCTCGCATGCATCAGCGTTCTCGGCAGCGATGTAGTAAATCGAGTCCTGCCAGTCTTTCATGCGGTCCACGTACTGCTCCAGTGAAGTCCACTTACCGTCACTCTCGCTCGTCACGAAACGCAACAGCTTCACCAGCTTGGCACGGTTAGCAGCGTCGTCCATCACGCCAAGCTTGATGTTCTTGCCAAACTCCTCCCAAAACTTGTTGTAGGCGGCGTTGCCATCCTCTTCTTCCTCTTCTTCTTCTTTCTCAGCATCTCCTTCAGTCTCCTTCTTATCGTTAGACTCATCGGCCGAGGTGTCCACTACCTCGTCATCCTCTTCGTCTTCCTCATCGTCGTCTTCATCCTTCTCAGCCAACTTACGCAGCATTTCTAGAACCTTGCGCACAAGCTTCTTGCGGATAACACGCAAGATCTTGTTCTCCTGCAGCGTTTCACGTGACACGTTGATTGGCAGGTCATCTGAGTCCACAACGCCAGCGATAAAGTTCAAATAGCGCGGCAAGAAATCGTCAAAGTCGTCCGTGATGAGAACCTTGCGGACATAAAGCTTGATGTCGGCCTTTTTGTTCTCGAAACGAGTGTACAGATCACGAGGAGCCTGACCAGGTACGTATAAGATCGACTTGAACTCAATCTCACCCTCAGCCTGGAAGTGGATCCACGTCAGCGGGTCTGTAATGTCAGTCTTCTGTAGCGAGTGGTAGAAACTCTCGTACTCCTCGTCACTGATTTCGTCCTTGGAGCGCGTCCAGATGGCCTTCACCTCGTTCACACGTTCCCACTTCCAAACAGTACGGGTCTCGGCGCGGGTCTTCGGAGTCTTAACATCCTCTTCTTCCACAGCCTCAAGTTCTTCATCTTCCTCACTGGGTTTCTCTTCGTCCGTCTCCTCTTCAACGACCTCCTCGACATCTGCAGGCTCCTCCTCGACTTCGTATGTCTCGGTGGACGTTGTGTTCACGTAAATAGGGAACGTGATGAACTCGCTGTAGTGGCCAACGAGGTTCTTGAGTTTGTCCTGGTCTTGGAACTCGGTAGCGTCGGGCTTGAGGAACAGCGTGATCTCCGTACCACGACCGAGGGTGTCACCGCGCGGATCTTTCGTGATCGTAAACGACGCGTTGGCGTCCGACTCCCAGATGTACTGGTCGTCGTTGTTGTTCTTGCTCACGACACGCACACGGTCGGCCACGAGGTAGACGGAGTAGAAACCGACTCCGAATTGACCGATGAGGCTGCTGTCGTCTGCTCCGGCCTGCATGGCTTCGACGAAGTTGGCCGTGCCCGACTTGGCCACCGTACCCAGGTTGTTGACGAGATCGTCCTTGGTCATACCCACGCCCGTGTCTCGGATTGTAAGTGTGCCAGCGTCCTTGTCAAAGCTGATGCGGATCTCCAGGTCGCGTAGCTTGCCTAGAAGCTCATTGTTAGACAACGCTAGGAAGCGGATCTTGTCTAGTGCATCGGAGGCGTTGGAGATGAGCTCGCGTAGGAAAATCTCCTTGGTGCGGTAAAGTGAGTTGATTAGGATGTCCATGAGACGCGAGACCTCGGCCTGGAACGCGAACGTCTCACCGCCGGTCAACGGTTCATCATTTAGATCATCCACCAGCAGACTCGGCGTGCTTCTTCTGTCAGTGCACCGTGCAACATCAAGATATTAGTCAATGGGAGTGGTAAGAGAGACTAAAGTGATGGAATGACGCACCCCAGCACTTCATCCGAGCCCGTGGACACCTCGGCGCGGGCGCTGTTCGAGGACAGCGCACTGTAGCACAAGGCCACGGCCATGAGCAGCAGCAGCAGCGAGCGGCGGCCTCCCTTCATCGCTGGCGGTTCAATCGATTTCAGACTGGGATCTGGCGAGCAAATGTGATAATGAGCTGCGGTATCCGATTTGATGCGGTCGGTCGTCTGCGACTCGTCGGTCGGTCGGACGGGTTAAAATGCGATCTTTCCATAGATTGAAAATACTAGGATTTAGCTATTTCACGAATATTTAAACATAAAATGCTATAAATTAGTCCAACCGTCCACGTGGTCCACGTAGGTGAGCTTCTAGAACTCCTGAAAAAGAAGATATGTCGAATCCAGATCGACTTACCCAGGTAAATACACGTGATTGGTCCAAAACCTCGCATATAACCGCACCTGTAACTGCCGAAAGTTGCGCTCATACTCAGACTGGACGACGACGATGAGGGAGTCGGCGGCTCTCGTGGTGGTGGCCTTGCTCCCTGCAGCGTTTGGATGGACCGACAGGTGTGGTCGTTGCATATTGAGTAACGGTTGTCGAAATTTTCTGCGACGCTAAATTATTGTCTATGCTGCTGCTGGACCCAGGTGGGACCACTCCAAGCGCTTCAACGCCGCTGGGCATGCACAGCTCGACTGCGATGGCGAGAGCCGGCCTGCGTCATGCTGCAGTGAGTCGCAGCTATTCACTGCTCTCTATTTTATTGATCCGAGGTGCTGAGTTCTTTTGAACTGCAGTCTGCAGGTCGATCGTGTTTGAGATAGAAACGCAGCTGAACAACACACAGGTCTTTGTCTTGCTAGTTACCGAAGTTAACAAGACAGCAATGCTAAACTGTGATTCATACAGAATGACCACGACATGGACGTCGTCTTCCGTATCAGCGAGGAGAAGAAGCAGATTAAGTACTCACGCAGTGAGGTTCGTTTGTTGATATCATCAATGCATTATTTATCGTAGTTATTTGATCTCACTTGACTCATACTACGTCATGGCTACTTGTTGCATCCATGACAGGCTCGCATCCTGGAGGTTCTAGATGATGTTTGCAAGCAGGTCCCGTTGGAGCTACCGGACAGCAACCACAAGGCCAAGCGAATGCTGAGTGCAGCGGTATGTGCTCTTGCGTTGCTGGTGACTTTATTTCTTTTTTCCAGTTTCTATTAGAGACGCTGATGATTCATCACTACAGTGTAGCGACTTTGTCGGAGAGTACGAGGACGAGCTGACGCGTACCTTCTTCGACGACTTTACTCCTGCCAAGGACCGGATGTGTGGTCGCACGTTGCAAGGTATGTTAACGATACCCACTGCACGTCGACGGCATTCGAGCAACAATGTTCTAATTGCTGCATCTCCATTTCCGTAGTCTGCCCTCAACCCGACAAGACAGCCAAGCACGAAGATCTCTAATGGTGCGATGATATGCTTGCTGAAATCGCACTAAATTAGACTGAACAACAACAAGGGCAAGATGTTTGCAACTCTGTGCTACAGTATGCCATTAGTGAGAGCATAATGGTAGAAGGCAGTGTCTCGTTCACACCATTACTTCTATCACACTTTGTTGCTACCCTCGAGTGATCCTTTCAGCGCAGCGTGTCCTGGGCCGAATCTTCGTCACCATCTTCGCCCCAGCAAGCAGGTTTGCCTTTCCGCCATCGCTCTTCCAGCTTTTCCATTGTGCACTCGAATACAGGCTTGTGGATCTTGCGGTTCACAATGTTGTGCTGCTCGCATAGCCATATCGAGAACGTCGTGCGCGACTCCACACTACAAAACACCGAAATCAGTGCCACCAAATCACACAAAATTAAGCAACACAACGATATAAAAGTATTCTCTGTAGCTCACCGTGGCGGAGACTTGGCAATCTCCTTTTGGAAATCTTCGGCGCAATGCACGCACGGGTACATGAGCGCTAGAGCCTCCACGAACGTCTTAGCCTTTGCTTGGTACTCGGGTGACGGCTTATCCGGGTAGTAAATGCCCATCGAATGCAGCTGTAGGCACATAGCCCATCAAGTGTTAGATTATTGTAAGCCCCTAGAGTATAATTGTAAGAAATGTGCACGCACCAGCCCCCAAGTGGATTTACCCAGTTCCTGACGATCGAGTGGGCAGTCGGTGGCTGGCTTGGGCTGTGCAGCAGTCTTTTTGGTCTTCTTGCCCATGGAGCTCTTGAAGAAGCCCATCTTGTCGGCGCACGCCGGCTCCACGCAGTTCGGGTCGCTCATGGATGACACCATAGCCTATCAACTAGAGCTCCACTATTGCAATGAGGACCTTGACATTGACCAGCAAATTAAGTTGCGTGATGATTTTATGTTGCTGAAGCGTTTCTTGAAAAGCAACATAATTTTCCACTTCAACTTCATAAACAGCTCACGTCGCTTCACTTTCCTTCACAAAATGGTGCGATCACCGACACGTTCCCCGTCCAAGTCCCCGCAGAACAGAGCGTTCGACAGCTTGCACGTGATAGATATAATCCGTAATCCGAGTTAATGACACTCTATTGACATTCGCTGGTGTTGCAGCCTCAACTCGAACGTGACGACGGTCAACTCGCGGGAAGGCACTCAGCTTGCTGAAGCTACCCCCCCAATTGGATTTTCCACAACGGATCGATGCTCCCGAGAGTGTACGTTGCTGTAAACATGTCAGAATTTATAGCAACGTGTTGAGGTGATAAAGCTCAAAAGCCGCCGTATATCTTAAACGGTGCCAGATCAAAACACCCGAGAGAGATTTCCCGCAGACAAGAGAAGAACGTATTCAGAAGACGGTGTTCTCACCGCATGCAACCGCACTACGCAAGCTGAAGACACAAATCCGCTCGTCATTTGACAATGGAGCACAGATAGAGGCCAAGCTTAGCTGCTGTTCCTCGCAGAAGCTGAAGGACCGGAGAAAAGCAGTGTCGTCCAAGCTTATCAAGGAGTATTCCATGCTGGCAGAATCTAGCAAGCGTGCTGGTCGGCACGATGCCGAATGCACAGCCTACTTGTGGTAAGTCTACGCTTACCACTGGATCCAATTACTTTTTATTGTTGCCTGACAGTTCCTCTATCTCAGTCTAGGAATCCTTCACGACAACGTCGAAGACTACTCCAAGGCCATTGACTGCTACCTACTCGTGCTTTCCATTAGCGAGAGTACGCAGAACAAGTTGTTCATGGGGTTGGCTGCTAACTGTATTGGTGTCAATTACCAGCTACTATCCTCCTCCTCGAAAGACTACCGTTACAGCGGGAAATTTGTGGATCCGCAGAGTCGTAACCTGCAAAACGCACTAGTTTATCATCAGAAGCATCTGGAGGTTGCGGATGATGCAGGCAAGTTCGTGGCTCATTTGAATCTGGGACTTACACTCGGCTCCCTTGACCGTCCAAACGAAGCTGCTCACTACTACCAGGAGGCTCTTCGTTTGGCTATCCAGTTGAACAGTGCGTACGGTCAGAGTCTTGCCGTAGGCAACCTGGGGCTGCTGGCTAGCCGTCAAAATGATCTAGACACAGCTGTTGCATGCATGAATCAGCATCTACAGCTCATCCAGTCAGTCAATGATCGCCCAGCGGAGACATTCGCGTGGATTCAGCTCGGTCACCTCGCTAGCCGGCGAGCAGAATTCGAGAAAGCGGAGCGGGCCTTCGACCAGGCTCACCGGCTAGCTCAGGAACTTGGAGATGCCGGCACAGTCAAACAGTGCAGCTGCTACTTAGGAGTCGCTCGAGCACGTCTTCAAATGCAAAATTATGTCTGCCAGCTCACCACCTCGTTACTTCCAACAACAACGAACTGAGGACGTAGTCCGCTTTAAGACAAATGTCCGTGTGAGGATATTCCCAGGTGATATACTTTCCATTTCTTCTGCCGTTTGTGCCTGCTGTTGTGACTATTCGATTGCCGGTCTGACGTGATATTCTCACAAGTTCAAGACAACGCTAATCCTTCATCTCGATCATTTTGATGACACCGTCGCGGTTCGAGTTCTTATCGCTTGAGGCCTTGTCACCTACATATGCCAGCACGTTTTTGTTGGGGTGCCAGCTTAAGTACTGTACGTTGTTCTGGAGCTGCAACTTAACTGCCTTCTCGCCGCTTTCTACGTCCATCACGACCAAGTTGGGGTCATCCATGCCAATTGCTATATATTTGCCGTCGTGGCTGAAGCGCACGGATCTGATGCTTGATCTGCGAAATTTTACAAACAGATTCGTGAGCCACATCGACTTACCAGCGTCATACGCGTGAACCCCACATAACAAGTACGTACGTCGTCACCACAAACGTTTTAACGCAGTAGAGCTCCTCTAAGTCCCAGATGCTCACCAAAGAGTCTACACCTCCCAATGCAAGGTATCTGAATGGATAAAAACACAACGTTAACACCAGCTTTAGTGAAAAATCGCTGCACCCTTACCTTCCTGACGGGTGGAAGTCCAAGCATACACAACTTCCTGCATGAGCCATAACCTGCTCAAACCGCAGTCTACTGTCAGAAATTGACAAAGATATCGCACTGCATATGCTGTGAATCTCACCTTGTGCGCACTTTCCAGGTTGGGGTTGCCCTTCTTCTCCGTGACTATACGCATGATCTCGAAAGTACCGAATCCGGCCGCATGGCCTGCGGCTACGAAGAGGAAGCCGGTCCTGCTGAACTGCATCTCGTAGGACTCAAAGGGGTTCACCACACGCCGCACCACGCGCGCCTTGCGTGTGTCGATGAGCGTAATGCAATCCAAGTTGCCCACCACGACGTACTTGGCATCATGACTGTAGGCGATGTTAACAGCGTCACCGGGCAATGAGACGCTGTTGACGATGCGGCCGGTCTTGGTGTCCCAGAAGCGCACCGTCTTGTCGGAGCCCGTGCTGGCCAAGCGGTGCGGTGTTGTAGGGTCCCAGGCAAGAGACAAAATCGAGTCCGAGTGTCCACGCAGTTCCATAAGCTCCCGCTCCTGACAGACAGTATAAAGCGAGCAAACACATTAGCAATTTACTAAAGAATCGCAGGCCAGGGTTGTGGTGCGTACGGTAGTGGGGTCCCAGATGCGGATGCTGCGGTCGTTGGACCCTGAGGCCAGCATAGAGCCATCACAATTGAAGCCCAATGCGTACACCTTGCGCGAGTGGCCATCCAGCTCTGGAAGTTGCACATACGCGGCCGCTTTGCTGCGCGGGATGCTATCGCCGCGCAGAGACATCTTGATCGTTGTGTTTTGGTAAATGAGGTGGAAGTGGTGTGGCACGTCATATTTCACGGTATCAAATATCGCAAGTTTTTTTATATTCTATACGAATAAAGAAGCATCGTAGTATGAAAGTCACTTGAAATATTTTAAAAATAGTTTTTAACCGATACTACAAATTCAAGATTTCATGAGCTTTGATAGTCGCGCTCTATAACAAGCTAATAACAACGTCAAACGTTGTCGCCACTCCGTCATTTCCAACCCACCGAGCTAAGTGCTGGCGTGCCGCCAATGACTCGAGGCAAAGGCGGAGACGTGCCCATCTTGGAAGCTGACCGTCTTGGACGCACGTCCTCTGTCTCAGTGGATGTTCATGGCGGACAATTCGATGCGGCCTCTAGCCCTCCACACAGACGCAACGTCATGCTACGAGACGCCGCGACTGGCTATTCAGACCGCCTGATGCATGCATACAAACAGAAGGACCGCATTCTAGCTACGGCTGAAGGGCGTGAGGAGGAACTGCATGCCTACAGCCAAGCGTCTGGCAAGTGGCGCTTCTACCGCACATTGTGCCAAGTGCGCTTCGGTTACCTTTCGTTTCTGGTGGTCATGATGGTGCTCATGTTCTCGTTCACGCTGCTGATGGAGATTTTCTTCGCCATTTTCCTTCCCAGCGCTAAATATGATGAGTACTATACAGTGCGAGCCGTGATCTCTTTGATTCTACTTCCGGTGGTGCTGTTCTTCCTGTCCTACGCTTTCGAAGAGGCCTCGAGACTCTTTGTGGACGCACTCAACAAGTCGGACGGCTCGCTGCCAAACTTTCGCCTGGCACTGGCTGTTGTGATTCACTATCTTCGTCATCGAACGGAATTAGTGGAGCCAGAAGGAGCGGACGATCAACCTATTGAAGAGACCGACACGCAAGGAATTGGCGAGCTGCGGAGAAGTCTTACGAGTATAATTCCTGGTGGACTTCTACGGGCGAGGGGATCGTTGCTACTTACTGCAAAAAATGATCCGTTCTTAGACGATGATAAAGAGGAAGAGGACGAGGCCTGGGAGCGCAAGAAAGCGGCCGAGGAGAAGCAAAAGGATGTGTTGGAAGCGCGCGCTGCGGGGATAGGTGAAGGCGTACCAAAAAGAACTGCTAAAGACCGATGGAAACGTATTCAGGCCGCTGTGAAAACCACTCTTCTTATCAAGAAGGTGCAGGACGAAGGTCCAGCTATCGATTTGTCTACTTTTGTCGTTGTGGACATTGTGTGTCCTGTGGTCTTCGAGGTTTTGACGGCGGCTTCAATGGTGATCAAGTTCATGGCAACTTGGTCAATGTCGGACGCGTTCTTGGCCTACGTACAGATGGGCTTCTGGTGTGTCGGAGGGTATTTGATGCTTTGGATGATAGCGCACTTTTGGAGTAGCCGTAATGGAAAAATGCGCGTTATTGTAAGCAATTATCGTCGTCGTAGACGCATCATGCGGCGAGCAGTCAGTGCTCTTGAACGGAAAAAGCGTGCCGAGCACCTTTGGCTGTTGGATGTTGGTTTTCGCTTTGTTCATCACGTCGGAGTCGCGTTACACCCTACGCGTTGGATCTGTTTCAGTAAGTCAAAGAAGGACAAGAAGAGGCGAGGCAAGACACCTACTGATGAGATCACTATTCCCATTGCGTCAGCTTGTGGCCCCGATCAAGCATCGACTACGTCTACAGCCACTGGTGTAGAAGCCGGCGCCGATACAGGAAGATCCCACGCTACGTCAGTGTATGCCTCACGCCTCCAGCACATGCGAGAATTCCGAGCGTGGGCACATGCACGCAATCCATGGCACAACTTGTCGTTAAACGTCCGTGCTGTGATTTTGCTGGTGCTAGTGATTGGATCTGCTTTGCTATCGTTGGAGTCATTCTTTATCGGCTGGCCAGTTATGGGTATATGCTTGATTGCCTTGAGCTCCGTCGTACAAAGGCGATTCCCTCAGATTTTCGGTCGTGCATTTCGAAAGTTCATTTCGGCTTTCGTGGTCGTATCGCTCATTTTCTTCTCATCATCGTTTATCATCGGCACTTTTGTATCGGGTGGCGCTTTCAAGCTGGGAACGTTTGATAATTCTACTGCGCTTGTATCAAGCGAGCTCAACACTACCCACGGGATATCTGCTTCAATTACCATGAACGGAAAAGTGATCAACTTCGATGATACGTCCGAGTACGCCGCTTGTAGCATCAGCTACCGAGGGCTGTCGGTGCTGGATTTGGCGTTGATAGCAGACGCCGCGTATGGCACAACTACAGACATCCAGAAGTCTGCGCTTGAAAATCGATTCAACGGAACGGAGCTAGATGACTGGAAGTATGTGGCACGCAACAACGAAAGCACAGATGGCCAAACCTGGATGGAGATCTACTTTCCAACAGTGAACATGACGGTCATCTCGGTGCGTGGTACAGCATCTGCAACTGATGCTCTCGAGGATATGCACTTTTGGTTCGGAATATGCATCATGCAGGCCATGAATGTCTTTATCCCGTTCTTAAAGCAGCTGCCTCGCCCGTTCGTGGTGAGATTGTTGTCCATGCGTCTTATCGCTAGCGTGATGCCGTCACCTGTGTATACAGACGTGCTGAATCACGCTATAGATACACGTTCTCGTGTAGGGAATAACCTTGTGATCACTGGACACAGTCTGGGTGGAGCCATTGCTGCCATGATTGGGGCCAAGACCAAAACGAGCGCTGTTTCCTTCTCAGGGCCTGGGCTACTGTACTCATTGGGACGCTTCGATATCACCGCTCAAGACGTCCGTGACTACGTATTAACTATGAAACCCAGAAAGGATATTGTACCTCAGGTGGACGAGCTCGGGGGGTTAGTTCAGGAGATTCGCTGCAAGAAATCGTCTCCCATGGGCTGCCACAGCACGAGCACCCATCTGTGCGAGCTGTATTTTTCCTGCGGCGATCCAAGGCAGCGCAACTGGTCTACAAACCAGCAGTGCATCGCATACAATGCGCTTCCATCAGATGACGATGACGACGAAGAGTAGTTGTCGAGTGCAAATGAAGCATTGTGGTTAAGATTGAATGTAAATGTTGAATATAAAACACGACTAATGAAATAGGGCATGACCCACGTTCATCTGGCTGTGCTCCACTCGTTCAGCTCGAATGGGTATTTGCGCATTTGCGTTTGAAGCGTCAACTTAACCGTTGCCAGCTGCAGAGACGCGAGGCACGTCGTGGTGTTCGGTAAGGCTTCCGAGGTGCTGGTTAAGCTCTTCGATGCGCTCTCTGTAGGTCTTAGACGCCAGCTTTTCAATCTCCTCTTGTTCCTGAATGCAAACAGCACAATACAACGTTAGCACTACTATGATATCGAAAGAATCTACGAGACTGGACAACACCAAAACACACACACCCTCTTCTTCTGGTGCTCAGCGTGTCGACGTTGGGCAGGAGTCATGTCGTCCACCTCCACGTCGTCGCTCTTTTCATGCTCATGGTTCTGTTCCTCTTCTTCCTCGCGGTGCTTGGATGTCTGTTTCTTATGCTTCTTATGCTTCTTGGATGCAACCTTGAGCTTACTGCCGTTCTTTAGTTTGAGTTTGCCTCGCTTTACGTTCTCCATTACGAAAATAAGAAAGTGGTGTGGCAAACGAGGAAAAGAATTTCTAAATGAGTTTCTAAAGTTTTGAAATGTCTGGCATTCAGACGAAAAACCCCATTAAAATTTTAATGGTTTTTTTGTCTGAATGCCATCCCGGCCAATGGTTTATTTGGGTTATTCGGAACCCAACTTAAAATAGTCCATTTTTGGGTCGTAATAATATATTCTTGGATGGCATCCAGACGAAAAAAAAACCATTAAAATTTTAATGGCTTTTTTTCGTCTGAATGCCATCCAACGGTTCGATTTATACAAATCGCTGGATAATAACATACTATACATTCTGTATACACAATTATGTGGCCAACATTAATTTGGCTCCAGCTACAGTCATTTTCCCACAACAAAAAAAAAAAAAATGGAGGCGGACGACACCGCAGTGTACGATGCGACTGATGCGCCAACACAAGCGGCTGATGTATCTGTACGCCCTAGGGAATTTAAGGCGTGGCCGGAGGACTTCGACATCGAGGTGTATCGTACTCTGAAGCGTGGAAAAGAACGCAAGGCTTATTTAATGAGCTTTGGCACGAAGCACGGCCTCCAGCTACCACAGACCACCACAACACCAAGCACCCACCAACCGCGACAATCGCCAAAGAAGAACCCTGGCAGAAAGAAAACGAAAGTGGAGAAGAAGCTAGTGCCGCAGAATTTTGCCTGGCCCAAGGGTATGAACCAAAGGGAGTTTTTAGCCCAGAAGCCGGGCAAAGAGCGCATGTCCTACCTGGCCAGGTACATCAGAAAAAATGGCGTTGAGCTGAAAGAAACCCCAGCCCGACCACGTGTGCCTATCGGTCGTCAACCGGAGCAACGGGCTCATCCTCGCTGCGGATGCTTCAGCTCCGAGGCGTGCGCGTCTTGCAGTAGATGCATGGAGCGTCACTGTGTTTGCGGGTTGACTGGACGTCGCCATCGTGCGTTATGTCTGGAGTCTCGAGCTTGTAATTGCAATTTGGCAGACCTTGCAGCACGCTGCAAGCTCTGTCATGGATGTCGGCAGCCACATGGTTTCAGTCATTGTCGCTGTGTCCTGCACCAGCGGCTTTTGTGGATCAAGAGACACCCGGAACTTGGAATGGAGCTAACGGAAGAAGAGGAGGAGAAAGTGTGCAAGTGTTTCATGCTCGCGCATCGGCATGGAGGAGCTGCTGCTACGAAGGCAAAGGAGGCGAAAGCATTGAAAGAAACCGAGCGCGTGCGACGGATAAAAAGAGCTGCAGGGTATCCATCGAGTGACAACATTTATCGCAGCAACAAAGTCGCTACTTTTCTTGGTGATGAAGGACTGGAAAGCGACTTGGACGATGGCGTGGAAGATGGACCAGGCTCAGCAGTGCTTCCACCCAGCACTGATAGCGTCATCCCACGGACGATGACCAGGAGGATGCTTGATCCTGAATACAATCCGGCGTCATACCATCCTGTGTTTCGGTCGGAAGGGTGCTCGCTGCTTGAAACTACTGAACCTAGAGGTGGGCGGATCACCCGGAGGGAGAATGCTGCGGTAAGTTCATTAAGGATGCTTGCTGATGGCGACCCCCATGTCATAAAAAACTGACAGTATTGCATGATGTTTTGCAACAGTTTATAAGTGATGCTATGCGAGATGAAATTTGCCGTGGGCTGGATAATTATGCGTTCGAACTAGGTGAGTTTCGTTTGCTATTGCATCTTTTGATACCATGGATCGAAAAACGCTTGCGTTCTGACTGTCTTGGCGTTACGTCTCGTGTTGCTGTTGCTCAGATCGAAACGCTGCGATGCCATCAGACGTAAGTGTACAGGACACATTAAGCTTGTGTGCGGAGTATCTGTGTGATGAACTTTATTTTGTTGCGTGTAACAGGATCTGGTGGAGTTTTTGGTGTATATGGCAAGCATCAAATCAGCAAACGTTGGGGAACTTATCGGAACATTTGAAGATTCAGCTGCTGTTGCGGCCAGCATCGTCATAGAGGAGTATATGGGGCAGCTTATCGAAGATACTGCTGTTCAGCAACGAGCATTATGCCCCCCAACGAAAGCAAGCGTACAAGCACTCACTCGAGAACTGCTAGTGGGCTTCAACTGGCAGCTCTTTGAGCAGCAACAACCTTTTTCTCCGACTGATCCCACGGACAGATTTTCCTCGTTGAAAGAAAAAGAAGCAACGATGAAAGACACCGTAGCAACGTTGGTTCTGCGAGAGTTCGTGTCAACGCAGCCAAAAAGCTTCGACGTGTATACCGATGGCGGAGATGTGTCCAACTGGATTCGAAATGCCGTTGTTATCCCCTCCGTCGTGTTGACCGACCCTAGTGGGTCTCGATCAAGTTCCGGCATGGTTGATATTACTGAAGACCACTCAAGTGGAACATCAAGAAGTCCAAACGAAGTGCATCAGCGTGATACAGCAGAAACAACGTCCACGATCCCGCAGATTCGACTTTCAGTCAAGGCGAATCGCATGCATGGGAATCCTGAGTACAAATTGCAATTTGCAGCAACGCTTGAGGACGGACATCACATTGAAACCTCGGCTGGTGGATTAGACAGCAAGATTAAAGCGAAGACGATGATTTCTCGACTTTCAATGGCCTTAGAACGCCAGGAGCGTCGCAGTAAGGGAACATTAGAGGGCCCAGCGGAAGAACCTGGCCCCCCACCAACTCCCCGGCCTTTACCACCGCAGGACCCCAATGACCCCTACGTCAGTATGTTTGAGCACGTGTGGGAGCATTTTAACGACTGTACTCGGCAGAAGTGGGAGGTATCCATGGACAAATATTTGAGGACTAAGGTGCCAGGGTGGAAGGGGAAGGCTTCTGAGCAAGTAGCTGCAATGAAGCGTGCGAGCACTGAATCACCGCCGAGGAAGCAAAAGAAGCAGAAAGCTTTTACTCAGTAGAGCCGAGGATGAGGTTGTGAACTAGATGATGATCGTTCTGGACATGATCAAGGAAACCACGGGAACACGTCAGCCTGCTGTAAGACCTAGGAACGTGCCACAAATGATGTCCTGAGTGCAGGTTTACCACAGTTATGGACTTCAATGGAGTGAATTGGGCTCGATTTAAACCTGGCCAGTCCAGGTTTAAACGATGATTTGGTATTGAAGTTCGAGCAGAGAAAGCTGATGCTAAAACGGACCACACCGTCCTTCGTTTTATTTTTGATGAGGAAGGCGGATGTTCTAAAAACGATGCTGCTGATTGACAGTAGTGCTAGGAATCGTACCTTGTTTAGCCTTTCGTTTGGTCGCTGACGAAAGGAGGTATGAACAAGTACGAAGTACTCGGTGTGATCGGAGAGGGAGCTTATGGTGTAGTTCTCAAGTGCCATAACAAAGAGACAAATGAGACGGTGGCAATTAAGAAGTTCAAGGAGAACGAGGATGATGATCCCATGGTGCGCAAGACAACACTGCGCGAAGTGAAGATGCTGCGCTTCTTGAAACATGGAAACATCGTTGCACTGAAGGAGGCTTTTCGCCGGAAAGGTCGATTGTACCTTGTATTCGAGTATGTGGAGAAGAATCTGCTGGAAGTGTTAGAAGACAGGCCCAATGGCGTTGACAGCGAACTCGTTCGCTCGTACATCTTTCAATTGTGTTGCGCAATTCATTACTGCCACACAAACAATGTTATACATCGCGACATCAAACCAGAGAACTTGCTCGTGAACACATCGAACGGTGAACATTCTCTTCGTTTATGCGACTTTGGCTTTGCACGATCGCTGTCTAGCAACGGTAACCCATGTGACTTGACCGAGTACGTCGCCACGCGATGGTACCGTGCTCCGGAATTACTACTCGGGGACACCAAGTACTCTAGATCTGTGGATATCTGGGCAATTGGGTGCATTATGGGTGAGCTCATTGAGGGCCAACCAATGTTTCCAGGAGAAAGTGAAATCGATCAGCTGTACTTGATTCAGAAAATGCTCGGGCCACTACAGAAACGACACATGGAGCTGTTTGCAACGAATCCTCGTTTCTCTGGATTAAAGATTCCGGAAGTGAAAGCTCCTGAGACTTTGTATCGACGATACTGTGGTCGCGTATCGAAGAAGGCGATTAATTTTCTAGAGGGTGTGATTCGGCTGTGTCCTGAGGATCGACTTACAAGTGAGGAGTGTCTAAAACACCCGTACTTCGAAGGGCTTTCGTGTTCCGCTTCTGTGGATGGAAACTCAACGAGCTGCTCAACAGCCACAAGTGCAGCTCCAGAAGTCAAGCCTTTGCAATTCAATATGAGCGAGAAGCAGCACTCAGGAGGACCCACGGCAGCGGACAATGACTGCACTTCGCGTTGGTCATCCGAGTCTTTTGAAACTTCAAGGAGTAAGTGCTGGATGTCAAGTCGCGGAGTATCTAAGGCAGAGGAAAAGAACCCGACGCTCTCAAAAGAAAAGCGTCGGTCAGGAAGCAGACGCAGTCGAAAGGAAGAGAAGGGTGGGAATGGCCATTCAACAAGCAACAGCAGTTTGAAAAAGTTGAACGACTCTGTAGAGGATATTTCAAGTTTTGCAGTTACTGCGTCGTGGCAACCAAGCGAATGTGCAGCACCAAAAGATGACGATGGAGGGGCTACAAGTTCTTTAAGTGGGCGTCGCAAAAACCGCAAAAAAGGTAGTAATCACCTTCCGAAGCATTCTAGTGGTGGAGGCGGCAAAAAGAAGACATGGCATAGCAGCGACTCTGCATCTTCGACAAATATGGGACTACATTCAGGAGTCGGCATCGCAACAGTTCGGCCAGTGTCACGACAGGTTCTGCTTTCGCAGCAAACTTTACCGCGTTATCTGCCTCATTTGAGTGGTATCCATGACAACGTCGGTGATTTGTCAAGCTCGGTAGTGATGTCTTCTATTTCGTGTGGCTACGGTGCGGCAAAAAGTATAGGAGACGATGAAGAAGAGAGCGGGCTGGCTAGTGTCTACAACTTTCCAGTGTATTCGCGCTCCACATATTCGAAAAAACAGTCCAAGAAACTCCGTGAGCGCACGTTAGACGCCCAGGAATTGATGGAGTTCAACTGAGCAATACTTCAGTACTTGTCATGTTGCTATAGAAATCATGTCGAAGCAGTTTGTATTTTTGTCAATCAAACTTTCTCAGAATCAGTGATCCATGTTGGTTCTTCGTCCAGGAAGCTTGGGTCGGCAGCGCTCCAGTGGTTGCCAAGAGCTAGCCACGTAAACTTAGCGCTGAACGTCGAGTGTCTTGTCAACATTTGCCTTCAACCTGTAACATCGTTCCGGCGGGAAGTTCCAGAGCATATCCATGCAGCCAACAGAATTCCATTTGTGCACCGCAGCTCCGAACTTGTAGATTAATTCCTTTGCGAATCTCTAAAGGGCATGTGCAAACCTCTGGCGACGTTGTTGTGCTTTGAGGAGCTTTGAAAAAGCTTCCATCGTGCACAGCCCAAGCGTTTGCAGTGGGTAATTATCACAAGTCACAGATTCATCGTCGTCTTTTTATGACCGTTTCTGTCAAGTCAACAACACTTTATGAGCATCCGAGGATCATCGGGTCATTTTCGAATTGGTTAAGTTGCGCACAAGTGTCTGTCACCTTCACCTGTCTGCCCCTCTATGATGCCGTCTGGTTGCCTGGAAGCCGAGCGCAAGGGCAGCCCCGTCCCCGCGCGTGAGCTCGCGTTCGTGCTGCACAAGAGCAAGCGCAACGTGGAGAGGCTAGAGCGTCTGGAGCAGCTACTACTCCAAGACCCCGTCTTCAACCACGAAAAGATGAACTACCTCACGCGCGGCGAGCAATACAAGCGCGCGCTGCAGATGTCGGCTCGTGTGGAGATCCTGGCGCGCCGCAATCGCTTGAGTGAGGAGGACACGGAGCAGCTTCGTCTCATCTTTCAAGGCATCACGAGCTGCTCGGCGGCGACAACTCTGCATACGCTCATGTTCATTAAGAACCTGGGACTGCTCTTCACGGACGAACAGCAGACGCGCTGGATGGAGATGGCTAAGCAGTGGCGCATGGTTGGCTGCTATGCCCAGACCGA